CATTCAGGAGTTCTCCCTGGAGGGAGGCTCCATCAGCCCCCAGCCCTCTTGCCCCCCACCCCGGAGTGGAAAGGCCCTTCCTGTCTCAGGATTTAGGCCAAGGAGACCCAGGGATGGACAGGTTGCAGGAGCATCAGACTCTGTGGGCTGAGTCAATTTGGAAGAAAGAATACAAGGTGACTAAGCTCTGCAAGAGCAAAGCCAGGCTTTTGGGTGGGTTTTGCTTGTTTGTTTTGTACAGTGCTTTGTTGAGCCATGCATTAAATCAGAAAATAAGTATTTTATATTTATTGATTGGTTTCAACTGATGTTGGAAAACCTGGGCACCCACTCCTGTGCTTCAGCGAAAGTGTCCAGGCCACCAGCTTTGGAAGCCCATTGCAGGTTACACCTAGCACTGCCTTGGAGTCCCAGACGCAGGGAGGGAGACGGGTACCACAGGGGATCAATCCCGAACTCAGGGCCCTCTGGGTGGCCACCCTCACGCCTCTGCCCTGGCACCACAAGGCCACAAGGCAGGACCACCTGGGCTTGGGTCTACCTCTTCTGGGGTTCTCCAGTTCTCTTCTGTACCACAGAGCGGCTCCTGCTGAGGGTCCTGGGACTTGTGAGAGGGCAAGGAAGGTCAGATGTACAGAAGCCACTCACACCAGGGACTTCCCAGCCACCATGTTCCTCTACTGTTCCATAAACCTGTCCTGAGGCCTCAGGCACTAGGCCCCTCGTCTGGCCTCCTCCTGCCCATCCACAGGCACCTGAGGTGCCATGCCCTGCCTGGCAAGATGTCCCTGGCACAGCCCGTCATCTTGGCCCATGCGTTGGGGTTTGACTGTCTCCCCTGGACTAACGTCAGCCAGCCCTGCAGTTTATCCCTCATCCAAGATGCTCCTTTCCCACACATGGGAACACACCTGCTACCCCTCCTTCAGGCTCTGAGTAGGCCTCCCCTGACCCCACCAACCTGTGACGGCCCAGCCACACCTGCCTGCTCCCCAGTGCCCGTGACAGAGCCAGGAGCACAGAAGGCACCTACGGTTAGTCAGGAACCAGTGGGTTTTGTTCTCAGGAATCTCCAGCTTTGGGACAAGGAGCCTCCTTTCAGTAATCAATACCTGTTCCTTTTAACCCTCCCTCCCCATTCCCCAACCCTCGGCTCTCCCAGGGTTAATGGGCATCCTCTGGTTGAGGGGAGTTTGTCAAATGGGTGTGGTTTTTTCACTATATCTCTTCATCTACAGAAAGGGTATTATATAGTCAATTCTGTTTATTCCTCACGCAGGCAATGGAAGAGTGTGTGTGTGTGTGTGTGTGTGTGTGTGTGTGTGACAGAGAGAGAGAGAGAGAGAGAGAGAGAGAGAGAGAGAGAGAGAAAGAGAGAAATGAGAAGCATACTGATAAATACATCAGACGCATAGTTTGGGCCTAAGACAAGGACTTGGGTGCTGAGTGCAGATATTCTACTTGGGGGTCTCAGAGCGTGAGGCAGGGAATGGGAAAGTGAGACGGGAAAGGACAGATGTCAGTAGAGGGTGTGCAGTGTGCCACAGGGCGCACTACCCGGGAAACTCTCTGGGGATTGGGTGAAGGTGCCTGTGAATAATCCCTGTGAGGGGGACACTGACATCTGCCCGAAGTCCCGTGGGGTGTTTAGGGGTAAGGCAGGGCTGCTGCATGCTGTGAAGTGTGGGCCATTTTCTGTAGTTTCCACAGGGGTGCCAGGAGTTCCAGCACCAGAAACAGAGAGGCCCATCCTTCCCTACTTCTCTGCAGAGCAAGGCCAGGTGTCTGCACCTGGGTTACTCTGTTCCCCAGCCCTCTCTGTCTGCTCCAGTGCCCAGACCACACTGTCTTAATTGCTGTCATGAGAATTCACTATCTGGCTGAGCAAACTTTCCTCCATCATTCTAGTTCCTCAGCTATTTTTCTTCACTTGCAATTTCATGTAAGTTCTGGAAATAGCTTTTCAAGTTTACAGAAACCATGCTAGGACTTTGATCAGAACTGCATTGCATCTGTGAGGTAAAATTGAGAGAACTGACCTTTTAAAAATATTAAGTCCAGCAATCCATGAACATGGGCTTTAACACCATTTATTTGGGTCTTGTTTAAGGACTCGCAAAAACATTTTATAATTTTCTCCATAGAGACCTTCCACGTGTTTTGTTAGATTGATTCCAAGGTATTTCATATTTCTGATACTGCTGTGAGTGGTGGCTTTTCTTTTCCGTTGTCTCATTGTTTGTTGCTGATGTACGAGAATACAATTGATCTTTATATGTTGATTTTTAAAATTCAACTTTGACTCTTATTAATTCTAATCATTTATCTGTATTTTAATGGATTCTCTCCCTACACAATAATGTCACCTGCAAATAGTGACTATTTTGTTTCTTCCTTTTCAATCCTTCTAGCAGTCACGAGGGTGAACACCTGACACTGCACTCCACAGCCAGCTGTATTGTGTAAGTACGTGAGATGTTCCACACTATTGTAAAATAGGTGTTGTGTTAGATGATTTGCCAGCTGTCACAAGGTAGGTGTCTGAGCACTTCTGAGCTGGGTCAGGCTGCGCTACAATGTTTTCAAATCTCTCCTAGGACAGGGAGTGCTGGGTCACACAGAAACTCTAGGTTAAACTCTTTGAGCAACTGCCAGGCTGTTTTCCAAAGTGGCTGCATTATCTCACGCTGCCGCCAGGGGCGCACGAAGGCCCAATCCATCTTAACGTGTCACCTCCCTTCCGCTCCCCACCACTGTCAGGCAGTTCTCTCCCCCGGAACAGGGCATCAGCACCGTGACCCACACTCTCTGGCCTCCTCCTCCCCAGATAATTCCCCAACAGCCTCAACAATATTTAGAAAACACAGATCGTCACACTCCTGCTCAGGATGCTCCATTGACTTCTCGTGACCCTAAAGTAAAACCCTCCCTCACAGGCCCCCCAGGCTCGGGTGCTTGCATCTGCTCTGAAATAGCTCCCTGAAATGCCACCTCTGCTGCAGAATTCCTGACCCCCAGCACCACACTGCTCCATGTGGGCCAGTGGCAGGGGGAGAGGACCTGCGACCTCCCATCAGGAGCTCAAATGAATGGGCAATGAGGACAGGTGAATCCTGCCCACAGCAGAGAGTTTGCAGACTTTCCCAGCCAGGCTGGCATCCACTCCTCATCCTGGCTACCTGCCCCCAGCCCCACCCACAGCCACATTCTCCTCTGCCCTGCCTTAATCAATATCATAAAATTCATCCTAGAAAGAATGTCCTACAAGTGGCAAATGGACAGCACCTTCAGTAGAACTTGGACCTTATTCCACATAAGAGAATTCATCCTAAAGAGAAACCCGTGACATCCCAACATCTGAAAATTCACCCTTTGAGTACAATGGATGCAGGGAAGGCTTCAATTCCAGATTATCTGTTAACAACACCAGAGGAACCACACAGAAAATTTGCATGTTAGAGAAAGCTTACAATTATATTGGGAGTGGATTTTTAAATTTAACATAGAGGAGTTATACAGAAACACCACAGCCTTTGAGCAAAGGTGCATCTGAGAGTGAATCTGTACTGGAAGGAAGCTTCCTTTGCCTAGTAAGTCACCTCCCTGTAAGTGTGTAAATGGACAAACCTGGGAAAGATTGTGTGATTGAAGAACGCATGCACTAACCACCAATGTCTTATCATAGGTGGTAAGCCAAGGAGCAGGTGTTAGTTTTTCTAATTAAATTTGTGTGACATATAATTAAGGAACATGCCCACAGGTAAGAAATCAAATCGATATTTCTTGGAAGAATGATTAAGCTGGAAGGCCCAGCTGTTCTGCCTCCTCCTCCATGCGGACAGCCTCCTGACACACCTGCTCAGGCAGTCCCTCCCTGGCATCTGAAACAGCGGTCTGCACTCTGGCTTCTCCCGGAGTCATCTAGGCTGCTTTTGAAAAATATCCCATGGGCGCCCCGCACCCCAGTTAAACTCGAATTTGTGCAGGAGGGCCCTGGGCAGCACTTTGTGAAGCTCTTGTGTGTTACAAATGAACAGCCTGAGCTGCACACACTACACCCAGGAGAGTATGCCATCTGGTGACACTTAATCCTGACTGACCATCAAAATCACTGGGAAGCTTCTAGAATCACGGGTTACCATGGGTTACTAGGTTCAACCCCAATGGCATTCTGTTTGGATGACACATGGAAATCCCTTTTTAAAAAGTATTCCAAAGTAATTCTGACTATGAGCAGGTTCAGGAAGCAAAGTCACAGAGGGTGTGAACATGAAAGGGGAGGCAGCAGCCCCACCGGGCAGGGGGAGACCCAGGAACTCCGTGGGGTGGGGGGATTGGTGGAGGCGCAGGTGCAGGGCACGAGGCCAGAGGGCGAAAGAGGCCCGAGGGGGAACGAGGCCGGGCGGCATGAGCTCTGGGACTCTCGGCCAGGCAGGGTCGCTCTGCTGGTAGGCGCGGGGGCGGGAGAGGCTGTCAGGGTCTTCTGAAGGTGCGGCGCAGGCGAGGCAGGCGGCGGGGAGCGTACACCGGGCCAAGTTGCACCCCACCGTGGCCACCACCGTCCTCCCAGGATCCCAGAGCCGCTGCATTCACCCAGAGAGCCGAGACACGGCCGGGGAGGGGCGGGGACGGGATCAGGAGGGACAGAGGACTTGGGCCTGGGAGGGGCGAGGCGGGGCCGGGCCGGGATGGGAGGAGCCAGGGAGGGGCGGGGCCGGCGTCCGGGCCACACACCACCATCGAGAGGTCGGGCCTCAGCGGCTAGAGCGGCCCCGGAAGGGGCGTGTCGGCGGCCGGGCGCTTCCTGCGGGCGCTAAGGGCCGGCCAAGCGGCTGGGCTGCTAGGCAAGGGCTGGCGCGGTGAGCGGGAGTGTCTGCGGCGAAGCGGGCGCGCCTCTCCTGCGGCTGGCCCCTGCGAGGGCGCGCCAGCCCCGTCCACCCTCCGGCTGTCATCGTCCGCGCCCTGTTCCGTTATCGCGTCTGCAGTCAGGTACTTCTGAGCTCCTGCCGCGTCGGGTCTGGGACGCGCGGCGTCAGGAGGGGCTCTGCTGCGGGGGCAGCCGCGTCCCCTCACCCGCTGCCCGGCGCGCTCCAGGCGGGAGGGGCGGACGGTCCGAGGCTGTCTCCGCTCCGCACGCGGGTCGCGGATCTGTGGTTGGTGAGGGGCGTGCCGCTCTTCCAGGAGCGCGGGAGACCCTGGTGGGCTCCTCTTCTCTGCCGGTTTTCAAAGGCCTTGTGTCGCAGGCCTTGACACAGCTACCTGGCGGGCTGTGGACCCGATGGGCTGTTGGGCCCTGAATCGCAAGCCCACCAATAACGCAGTCTCTCCCTGACACCCTGGTTCCTGGAGGCAGAAGGAGTAAGTAAGGGTAAGTGAGGTTTCCTGGGAAGCCCCACTGCTGATGGACAGACACCCAGAGATTACAAGTGAAAAGGTCTCAGCCCAGAGAGGTAACAGAGCGATAGTGAAGTTGTGCAGTAGAACCAGAACCCTAGCCTTTAGGCCAGGTCCCTCATTTGCTGTGCAAGTGTGGGTTGTGTTGTCTGTGTAGCTGTAGCAGTCACTCATGTCTGCAAGCCTGTTGAATGAGGAGGCCAAGAAGACAATCAGGGTAGTCCACTGTTTTTAACAAATATTAAGTGAGAATTCCAGTCTCTGCTCTTAAGAACCTGCCAGCTTGAGTTGGGCAGACAAGACTGTTATCAGGAATGTTTCCTGAGCACAGTATGTGACGGAGATTTGGAGATGAAAAAGACATGATTCTTGCCTCTGCCTCATAAGAAAACTGGCACGTTAGTAACCAGTGACAGATGTCCTGGTGGAGGGCACAGTGCTATGGAATACAGAGGACCCCCCATAGGCCTGGGGCCAGCAGGTGTCAGGTTTCCTGGGTACACAAATCACGCCTCTCCATCGAGTGGAGTCAATATAGAGCTCGGGAGAGGAGCTGGTGCCTACAGTTCAGCCCCACCACATGAAGCACAAGGATCGTTTGCCCTTTTGTATTAGTTCTTGGTTTTTATCTCAGTTTTCTACTAAAGCTAGACCCCCTGCCTCGGACTCCAGCCTGGTTGACTGGGGTTGTGATTCTCTGCCCATCTCAGCAGAGCTGCCACCTGATTCCTGCGTCCTCCTCTCAGTGCAGATAACCTTCCTTTATCTTCAGTTCTGGCTCCTACCCAATGCTGAGAACCACCTCCTCCAGAAGCTACCTTCAGATAGAGCGCTCAGAAAGTGATGTTGGCCTGAAACTGAATCAAGTTTATCTAAACATTTTCATTTAGAAAAGACCAGACTCTCAGACTCCTTGCTGACATAGGAAATTTATATAGGCATTTTATGCACTACTTCCACACATGAGGAGAGAAGAGAGAAGGCCAAGCATTCCCCTCTTGACTTAACAAAGAGAATTCGAAGTATTTATGCATTAAAGCATACATCATTTGTATCTGAGCTCAATTTGCAACTAAAGTTCGACTCTAGCCTTACACTGCAGCCTGGTTGACCAAGAACTAATACAAAGAATTTGGAATATCATTACTTAGAACACCACATTTTTGGGTAAGACAGCTGTCAGGATTGTGGACCGCCTAGTGGACAAGAGTAACTATCACAGGACACGAAGCTTCTTTGCTTAGTACACCTTCTTCAGGGTGGTTTGAAGAGTCAGACAACGATCTGCTTTCCTTGGCATTGCAAAGGAAACAGTACTTTCTGCTAATCTCATGGAGATTTCTTTCACTATCAGTTAAAAGAGCCTGGTGTTTTTTGACGCTGTATGCTGGAATTTCAATACTTAGTACCGAGAGAAAGAGGCAGGTCAGAAAGCTCAGAAATGATACAGAAAAGAGACAGCCATGCAAGGTGATGATTCTGTAGACACCTGGGCCTTACCAGTCACTTCCTATTGCTGGGATTGGCTAATTCTTATTTGACTTTGTAGTGAGATCAGGATGCTGCTAGACTGAATGATCTTTCCCTCCCCTTCAGAGTTTATGAAAGACATTTGTGTGGAATAAGGTTCAGACAGTGCCAGCAGGTCCTGGTTAGTGATCATCAGGGGCTTCTACCCCGAGTCCAGGTGAGAATTTGCCTGGGCTGCAGAGAAGGGGCTGTGCCAGGGACCAAATGTTGTCACTTGCTATCGTGTGACCTGGGGAAATGGTGGTGAAGATGAGGATTAAATATGTTGATACTCCTTAAGTGCTTAGACAGGGGACATGTTAAGTGATAGCATTGTTTTAATTTTTCAGTCATTCAACAAATATATGATGAGGAGCCTCCATGTACCAGGAGCTGTAGGGAAGCACTAGGATAGATAGCACAGTGAACAAGCCATGTTTAGTTAAAAAATAACAAAGGTTTAGCCCATGTTAAGTGCTTGGAGGAAAAGTAGTGCTGGGAAAAGAGGGGCAGCGTGGGTGGGGCATGTCATCAGGTCAGGGGTGTCTCTGAGAAGGGGCCACTGGAGCAGAGCTCTGGAAGGCAGAGGGTAGAGGGAGCCCAGCGCAGAGGCAGGAAGGATTGAGTATGTTTGGGGAAGCCAAAGAAGACGAGAGTGATGAGGGGGTCACCAGAGGAGAGGCATGTAGTGCCTGTGAATCTGAGGGAGGCCATGGCCATCTGCACGGGGTGTGATGTGATAGGGCTAGCTGGCTCTGTGGGCCAGCTGGGAGTCCAGGCTCCAGGAGGCCCCTCCCATGGGCACGAGGCTCCTGCAGCCTGTAGCTCCAAAGCATGTGACTGGCTCCAAGCACAGGATGGTGGAGGAGGAGTAAGACCCTGGCGGGAACAAGATAAATTTGGGGATGTGGAGATGGGACAGCCACAGGGCAGATGTTGGTCCATGTGCCTGTCAGATTCTAATGCAGCCACAGCAGTGTGCAGACCCATCCCCTGGCAGAGGGATAAGGATTCTTTGGTCAGCAGCTGAGTGAGTAGTGATGCTGCTCACCGAGAGAAAGAAAATGGGGGAGAGTGACTTAAGGTTCTGGGGAGATCAGGAATTCAGTTTGAGATGCTCCTTGGGGAAACCATTGGAAGGGAGGAACCGCACCCCCCACCATGTCCCCTTCCCAGCACTTGCCATCCCGCCCCTTGATTGTGCAGCCTCTGGAAGACATGTTAATCTGAGGTTTGTGATCTTGCTTCTCTCCAGCAGCACAAGGACAGGCCACTCTTTCCTTCCTGGCACAGAGTGTCAGTCACATGCTGGAAAAATGGGGAGTTCCTGGGCAAGCAGAGCCTGGGAGGAAGGCACCAGGAGCCCCAGGCTTCCTGCAGCTCAGGCTGCAGACCCTTAGTCCGGGCAGCTTCCATGGAGCTGAGAGAGATGGAGAAGGCTGCAGGCAGAAAAAAGAAGACACAGACCCCAAGGGAGGAGGCAGATGTGCCGAAGGACACTCCCACAGAAGAGCAAGCCTCTGGGGGAAAGAAGCCAAACAAGAGATCTGCTGTGGCCAGAAGGCACAGTAAGGGGCCCAGCCTGAGTCCGGAAGATGAAGAACACATCTTTGACGCTTTCGATGCTTCCTTTAAAGATGACTTTGAGGGAGTTCCTGTGTTCATTCCTTTTCAGAGGAAGAAACCTTACGAATGTAGCGAATGTGGACGAATCTTTAAGCACAAGACAGATCACATCCGCCATCAGAGAGTGCACACCGGAGAGAAGCCCTTTAAATGTGAGCAGTGTGGGAAGACCTTCCGGCATAGTTCCGACGTCACTAAACATCAGAGAATTCATACTGGAGAGAAGCCCTTCAAATGCGGGGAGTGCGGGAAAGCCTTTAACTGCGGCTCCAATCTCCTGAAACACCAGAAGACGCACACTGGAGAGAAGCCTTATGAATGTAAGGAATGTGGGAAAGCCTTTGCCTACAGCTCCTGTCTCATTCGCCATCGGAAGCGCCACCCGCGGAAGAAGCCCTGAGCACAGGGAAGCTGTGACTGGAGTCTGTGCCACGCACTCCTCCTCTTTCCGCATCCGAACGAGGCAAGGACTGGGGCCGTGTTCCCAGAAAATCAACCCCATCAGATATGGGAATGCCAAGCAGGCAAGAGACCTTTCTCACTCCAGATAATCTCTTTGGATCAAGACACCGGCTGGTGTGGAAGCTCCTTGAGGCTCTGTGGAGCTACAGGCCATTTTTCTGAACTACCTGATGCCCTAAGAATCAGCACCATGGATAGAGGAGCATAACAGCTGCCGTCAGTGCTGCCCAAGAACACTCAGCAGGAAAGGCCCCTGGCACTGTGGACCAGCATCTCCTGCCGCCATCTCTGTGGCATCCACTGTGCTTGGGCCCTTTCAAGGCTCCAGTCTGTGGACTCTCCACCTTCTGGGTCCTCAAGCTAGACAGGGGTGCTCTACAGCGACCTCGGGGAAGCAAGTGTCCACTGCACTGCACCAAACCCCCCTAGTCCTGGTCAGCTGGCTTCAGTGACCATTCTGTGGTTTGTCCTCTGGCTGGAGCACCAGCCCCAAGAGCTGGGCCACACCATGTGTCCTAGCCCAGATGGGCAGCCTGACTTACCTGGAGGGACCACTCGGGACCTGGGCTTCTCAGGGCCTTGAACCTCCCACCATGGAGACTTTGTCCCCAGCCACAAAGTGGGGTCCCCAGCAGACGACAGCAACTTACATCCAACCTGTGTCTGCCACTCAGCCTCTGGACACAGGCAGTGGCCCCTGCCCCACAGCCAGCCCTGTATTCAGGTTAGTCCACTTCCCCATGCCTGTCTCCCAGGTCCACACTCTCTGCCCCTTGGTGTTCCTCTGAGAGTGGTCTTTGTGAGGCTCCTGCTCTCCAGGGGACTATGGTTTGTGAGAGAGTAGTGAGGTGACTTTGTCAAGCAGGAGGTAATATGGCTTCTTGTTGAGAAAATTGGCACCTGTGTTTCCAACTGGACACAGAAGACTAAAAATGGCCTTGACCTTTGGGATTCTGAGAGAAGGGTCTCGAGTTGGAGCCAGAGATGGGCTTGTCCATCAAGCAGTCAGAGAAACCAGCTGGGGGGGTGGGACGCACCCCAAACAATGGAGGACAGTTGTGTCCTGGTGGAAATTGTCATGGTCTTTCTAAAAGCTATAACATTCTAACCCTTCTGCATGGGCCCAGCCTAGCCCAGTCCCTGGCAGTGCATGAGACTGCCATCCTTAAGAAGTGGCTGGGGGCAAGCCTCCTCTTCCACCTTCAAGAGTGCTTTCAATCTCTGCCCTCATGGATTTATTTAAAGTATGTTCCAAAATATATGCCAAGCATCTCTCTTCTCCTTGACTGCTCACACTGGCCAGTGTGGCCCAAGGAACCCACATCATGGCCTGAGGAGCCTGGGTGTCATGGTGGAGGGGGGCAGGCTGCTCAGCTCTCAGCCTCTCTCATACCATTCCCCAAGGTGGGTGCACAGACAGATGGCAAGTACCAGTTCTCCCCCGCCCCCCAAAAAATCACCTCTTAGAACTAGAAAATAAATTCACCTAAATCTCAGAAACAAATGAAAGCCCACCATGGTTTAGTCTCTAGCCTAGTCAGCTTCCTCTACCACAGGTCTGAGAAGAGCCTGTCCACATGTTCCCAGCCAGATCCTGGCCCCAGGACAGTATCCCACAGGTTGTTGGAGGAATCTCAGAGGTCAGTATTGGCACTCATTCCCCTGGGCTGGCCATGAACCTGAGCAGGCTGGTCTGAGGGGAAGGTCCTCAGCCCTCCCATGCCCCAGCACACATGTTTTGTTAGTATAGTTGTGGTCACCTGCATGGCCCTGCTGTGTTTGGGCTGAGGCTGTGTTGGCCTTCATCAGACTTGTCCGGGCTCTTCTGCTCTTGTGACCACACTGGCGGGACACCCATCTCCAGATGCACAGGTGATTCTCAGTGTCTCCCAGAAGATGGCCTTCTCACTGTCCTGTGCCATGGTCAGTGCTGGAAGCACGGCCTTTGCAGCCCTCCTTCCTGGTAGCCTGTGGTCCCAATGAAGGTGGGAGGCATGTCCCATAGTCTCGTGTGCCTGCCTGTGTCCTGCACTGCCAGGGTATGTGCAGCCAGCCTTGCTGTCTGGCTTCCCAGGGCTGTGGTCAGCTCACTGCTTTCTGCATTGGGGTGAATAGAGCGAGGTAGGAGGTGGCCCTGGCTTCACCTGGACTGTTCTGGATGCTACAGGTGGACCTAGGCAGTACTGTGCCTCCCCCAGGGTGTGGAGGGCCCTCCCTCAGTGGGATCTCCTTATGCCGTTGTTCCCTGGGGCTGTCCTACCTGGGCTGGATCTCCTTGGACAGCTGTCTCCAGGAGAGGAAGCCTCCTGGTCCCAGAAACAGAGAGCTGATGAGGTGAAATTATTCAAAAGCAGGGATCAGGCCGGGCGCTGTGGCTCACGCCTGTAATCCTAGCTCTTGGGAGGCCGAGGCGGGCGGATTGCTCAAGGTCAGGAGTTCAAAACCAGCCTGAGCAAGAGCGAGACCCCGTCTCTACTATAAACAGAAAGAAATTAATTGGCCAACTAAAAATATATGGAAAAAATTAGCCGGGCATGGTACCTGTAGTCCCAGCTACTCGGGAGGCTGAGGCAGAAGGATCACTCGAGCCCAGGAGTTTGAGGTTGCTGTGAGCTAGGCTGATGCCACGGCACTCACTCTAGCCTGGACAACAAAGTGAGACTCTGTCTCAAAAAAAAAAAAAAAAAAAAAAAAAAGCAGGGATCAGAGCTGACGTGGGAGACACACAGGTCAGTATGAGCCTCACTTGGAAGAGCTGCTTAAAGGACTTTGTTGGGACACTTGGCAGACCTGGCACCAGTTTTTCATGGACCATGGCCCTCCTAGGTTATGTCCTTGCTAAAGATGCACGCTAAGGTTGTCGGGTCATAGGTCATGATGTCTGCAGCTTATTCTGAAATGTTCAGGAAGGAAACAGTAACAATACATGAGTGCTTGTACTGAGAGAGTGACAGAGCAGATTGGCTAAATGTTAGTCATTGGTGAGTCTAGAGCAGGGGCTAGCTGGCCTTTTTCTATAAAGAGCCAGATAGTAACTATTCTTTGCTCTGCAGCCCTATGGTCTGTGTCACAACAACTCAGCTGCCGTGTAGGGCAGCAGCAGTTGTAGATAGTACATAAGCCATGGGCATGGTGTGTGCCAATAAAACTATTCACAAAAAAAGGCAGTGGGCCAGACTTGGCCCATTTGCCAATCCCTGTTCTAGATGAACGGTATGTGAGAGTTCACTCCCTATCCTTGTAAGCTTTCTGTACATCTGAAAGACCTTCAGAATTAAACGTTACAGGGAAGAGCTGGCTTAGGAAGTCAGAAAACCTGGATGCAGGTAGTGGAATGAGACCGTGGGGGCAGGAGCTGTTCAGAGCAGGTGTCCTCTCCTGTTTATCTCAATGTGCCAGGGAGGGTGGTGGCTGTGGACAGCTCAGGACACTCGCACACATGCCCTGGTTTAGTTTTACTTATTATAGTATTATAATTTTTCCATGTTTCTACCATTGGGAAGCATTACTTTTAATGACTGCATGGGGATCCATTGAATAGAAAAGCCAGAGTTGACATAACCATTTGCCAACACGGGTACATAGACTGTTTCCAATTTAGGTTACTATAAATAATGCTGTGATAAATATCTTTTTCTCATTTAAGGCTGATAGGATGGACCCCCAGATGCAGAATGACAAATTGCGAAAGACCTGCCTCCAGGTGTGCCCACGTAGACGCCTGCAGAGTGCATGGACACAGGGCCGCCTCCACCTCTCCAGCAGTGGGTAGGTGGGTTCTTAGTCCTTGTCAATTCACTGGGAGAGATAAAAATGTAGTTTAACTGATGTTTGGTTTGTAGGAAGGGTGGTGCAGAGCATAGCTCTGGAGTCACAACTTGTAGACTTGACCCTCACTCTGGAGCTGTGGGACCTTTGTCTCAGTTTCCTCAAATATGAAATGGGGATGCTGACAGTGCTTAACCCATATAGTAGCCAAGAATTCAGAAACTCAATGTGTGAAGTTCTAAGCACAGTGCTGGTTCCTAATTGTTTAACAAATGTTAGGTCCTGTCATGTTAGTGCTCTTAATGAGACCAAGTATTTGTTCACATGCATGCAGGGATGGCTGTGAAAGCTGATAGCCTTAGATGCCTCTTCCAGAAAAGATGGGCTGACTTCAACAAAATCAGTCTGGAAAACAACAAAAGATACATTTTTTTAGGCCAGCCAAAACTGGCTGACGTGGCTGACGCCTATAATCCTAGCACTTTGGAAGGCCAAAGTGGAGGATCATTCATGGCCAAGAGTTCAAGATCAGCCTGAGCAACATAACAAGACCCTGCCTCTACTAAAAATAGAAAAATTAGCTCTGCATGGTGGCATGCTTCTAGTCCCAGCTACTTGGGAGGCTGAGGCAGGAGGATCACTTGAGCCCAGGAGCTTGAGGTTGCAACGAACTGTGATGATGCCACTGCACTCCAGCCTGGGCAACAGATTGAGACCCTGTCTCAAAAAAATAAAAAGGATACTAGTCAGCCATAAAAATAAGTGAAATTTTGATTCATGGATGAACCTTGAAACCATGATTGATACTTAGAGAAATAAGCCAGACACAAGACAAATAAACATTGTATGATTTCATTTATAAGAGCCACCTAGAGTAGGCAAGTGCAGAAAGAAAGTAGACTGGTGATTACCAGGGACTAGGGGAGGGGAGATGGGAAGTTAGTGTTTAATGGAGACAGAGTTTATGTTGGGGATGATGGATGGACAAACATTCAGTGGACTGAATGTTTGTTTCTGCCCAAATTCATGTGTTGAAATCCTAACCCCCAAGGTAATGGTATTAGGAGGTGGGGCCTTTAGGAGATGATGAGGTCATGGGATGGAGCCCTCATGAATGAGATTCATGCCCTTAGGAGGCCAGAGAGCTCGCTCACCCTTTTTCCACCATGTGAGGACCCAACAGGAAGATAGCTGTCTGCAACCAGACCCGACAGCACCCTGTTCTCAGACTTCGGGGCACCAGGACTGTGAAATATAAATTTCTGTTGTTTATAAGTCACCCAGTCTATGGGACATTGCTATAGCAGCTCCAATGGATAAGACAATGTGAAACTTTTGGATATAGGTAGTGGAGATGGGTACATAACATTGTATTATGTGTTTAATGCCACTGAATTATATACTCACAAATAGTTAAAATTATAAATATATTTTACTGCAATGAAAAAAATTAAATTTGATACATTATTTTTAAATGCAATTTTCAAAATATTGTTTATTATAGCAATAAAAATATGCAAGGCCTTTATGAAGAAAATTTTTTTACATACCTAACAAAATGAAGGAGATATACCATTTCATTGATAGAAGGTCCTAAAATTATAAAGACATTGGTTAGTACCCAAATTAATTTAGAATCAGTGCAATCAAAATCCCAGCCAGGTTTCATTGTGGATCCTACATTGATTCAAAAGTATGTGTGGAAAAGCAAATTAACAAGACATTGAAGAAAAAACAGATGGAGGTATGGGGAACCTGCCCTATGAGAAACCAGACCTTTATAAATTATGAGTATTGGGGACTGCAGGACCTGGAGCAGCCCACGCACTTGGAGCTGGACTTGAGCCAGTGCCCACGCAGGAAAGTTAGAATGATCTGCCCCTCAGCCATTTGGAAAAAAATCTCAGATGGATCAAGAGAGTTTAAAACTTTCAGAAAAATAAGTATAGGAAAATAACTGTATGATTTCAGGGTAGAAGAGGAATTCCTAAACAAGATATTAAAAAGTACAAATCATAAAGGAAAAGACTAATACTTTTGATCATATTAAAATTGACAATTTCTGTTCACCAGAAGAGAGAAAAGACAGCAAATAGGAGGATGGTGATGCAGTCCCAGAGCCAGCAGTGGCAGGGCACATGCTTACAGTGCTGAAATTGTCTCATTTAATTTCTGGACACAAAGGAAGACCACAGATCACAGACCTCCTTGCAGCCAAGGGGGCCCATGGGAATGGGTTCTGGCCAGTGGAATGTGAGCAAAGTGGTAGACACCTCTTTAAGCCTGGCCTCCTGGAAGGTTCCCCACGATCCACTGCTCTCCCCCCTTCTATGACTGAAAGAGAAGGACTCGGAGATGGCAGAGCCACACACCGGAGGAAGGAGCCAAGACCCAGAGTCACCCTCAGGGAGAGCCTCAAGCACCTTCATGATGTGAGCAAGAAATGAACATCTACTGTATCAAGACACTGAGGTTGGAGGTTCTTTATTATCACGGCCAGTGTATTCCCCTGACTGCTACAGTGACAGATGACTAATATTTGAGTATATAAAGAATTCATAGAAAGCAAAGGAGTGCTCATCCATGCTGTTAGACTGTTATGTGGTAAAGCAACTTTGGAAGATGGTCTGGCATCTTCTGGCAAGTTGCAGAAAGGCATTCCCTGCTAACCCAGAGACTTCGCTTGTTCATTTACAGTGGAGACACTTTCGTACGTGCACCCAAAGAGACACATACGCTAATATTCACAGTGAGCACACCCTGTCAGGAAGACTGGAGATAACCCAAGTCAGCAGCACGGTGGACATAGGATTGTCTGTTGGTGCAGGGAAACCTATTCAGCCATGATGATGAAAATAGCCACGACTGCACCATCACTGTGGACCTCAGACTGATGGCAGGCAAAGAAAGTAAGGCACGGAGACAGGTGGGAGGATTCTAATTACCATGAATTTCAGAACCAGACAAAACCAATTGTGTTGTGTGGAGCACATGTGGTAACATGCTAGAGAAAAGCAAAAGCCTGGGTCATCCCAGACTCAAAAGAAGAGGGGCATGCACACAACTCGGAGATCTGGGTAGTGTCTTAAAATGGACAAAGGTTGAGTGGTTGTGTGATCTGCTGTCACTCATTTATGTGATCTCATCATATACACTTTTACTTTATGTATGTTTGATATATCTTCCAACTTTCTTAAATTTTTTTAAAAAAAATATTAAGTGTTTCCCATGAATGTATTGCCATCCAGGCCGGGGGTGCACAAGCTTGTGCCCCACTCCCCCTCCCCACCGCACTCATCATGAGGCACCCACCCCATGCCATCTACAATCACTGACAGGTGCCAGTTACTACCTAATCAAAGCCATTCTCTTGTTTTCATAGTCTGGTTTTTACCAGCAAGGGAACTAGGTAATAACTGCTTCCTTATTTACTGAGAAGGTGTTTATCCTCCTTTTCAGGCTGTTAAAGCAAATTACTCCAAGCAAGAAGTTCCTGATGAGATACGCTTACAAAGGAACCTTAAAAGTAACAAGAAAGATTCACCTGTTCCTGAGTTCAGAGGCAGAGCAGAGACTAAGCAGGAAGAAGAGAGCGCTCTGGGGAGAAGAAAAGTGAGCTTGTCCAGAGCAGCAGTCCCCTGGCCCAGGACAGCATCCATGTGCACGAGGCCACCTTGGCCCTGGGAAGGGCTGTTGCTGCAGGGAGGGTGAAACAGGGTAAGCGCAGGGAAGCATTTTATCTGAGTCACCTGACAAAAAACTAGAAACAACTGCAGGGAGCTTTCACTTGGTCCCCAACCTCTTCAGAGATTTAAACAGTCACAGTGGGCAACTTTTCCTCAATCCTTCGGTCCTTAAGCACCGTCAGTGGGGCCAGGGCCATAGGAGAGCTGTGTTAGCAGGGACAGACTGAGGCTCCTTCTAACTTCAGCATAGCCACCCTGGAGGGGAGTTCTGGGAACCAACTCGATGTTCAGAACCTGAGAAGCATATGGGGGAAATCTGAAAGCCCCTCAGTCAAGCATCAAGGTTCTCTTTACAGGAAAAGGTGAAAGCAAAAACCCAGAAGCTTCTCAGGAGCACAGAGTGTCCACACAGCCCTCCTCGACTGCCCTGCCCAGCAGGCACTGCCCACCGGGCCTCGTTCTTGGGGAGGAGCACTGACCAAGACAGCTCTGGCTGGACCTCAGCACAGAGAACCTCCCGGTGTCTCATCTCTGTCTTCCCACCAGAAGTCTGGGGGACACACCCAGCTCTGGGTGGCAGAGCCCTTCCCTGTCTGGGCCTCCTTTTTCCTGTTCCACATGGAAAGGGAGGGCTGACAGTGACTCAGGTTTGCTGGCTCTGGGCAGGTCCCCCTGTGCTGCTGGGTGCACCTGGGCCTGAGTCCTAGTGAACTCTTGTATCAATCCCCAATTTGGGCACCACGATGTGATTGTTTCTTTCCTGTGTGAGTGAGCTGAGACACCAGGACATGCTGTAGAGGAAAACAGGACTGGAGCATAAGGTTCTATGGCCTCAGCACCAGGGAGAAAAGCCACAGCCTCTGGGGAGACTTGGATATTTGCTCTGGAACAAGGACAGAGAATTGGTATTGAGGCATGGCTCTCAGGGAGCCAGGACAGGGTGGGGGCATTCCGTGGTCAGCAGAGAACAGCTGAAGCCCAGGGAAGATGGAGTAGGCTCTGGGTCCCGTCTCAAACACATTATCCCGTGGGCAAGGAGGGCACATCAGCCTGTGCCTTCAAGAGCCTGTGCTCCCAGAGCTTGGCATTGCTTTCTTGTGGTTTCCTCCTCAAATCCAGCCACGTGTTCAGTGCACTGAGGGCAAGTAGAGTGTCTAGCTACAGTCCCCCTGGGATCCCTCCCTGGCCACAGTGGTGACTCCCCAGTCTGGCTAGAAAGGATGCTGTTGCCCTACAGTTCCTCTTGGAGATGGCTCCAAGGAAGGTGGCTCTGGGGCCTGATGAGGGTTCCTGGACAGAAGAACCCCTGAGCCTGGGGCCTTTCAGCCCCCACCTGCCTGTCTGTACCTCATCTGGCCCTGGTGTCCTGGTGTGGTTTAGGAAGCACTGCACACATGCCTGTCGCTGCAGCCTCAGCCACTGCAATTCAGCTGGTGGTTTTGTTTTTTTGTTTTTTTTTTTTGGTGTTCACAACTCTTTGTCTTGTGTGTGTGTGTTTCTTGGTCAGGTTGAATGCTGTCATGCCTCAATACTCCTCACATTCCCTCATGGCATGTGTGTTAAATCGCACAGCTCATGTCCTGTGAACGCTCTTGTAACATGGTCTTGGCCTCCTGTGTTGGTGGCAGATATTGTCCCTGGTCCAGTATTTCCCACTGTTATTTTGTATTGCCCCCAAATTTAACTTTCCTACTAGCCAAAGTTGTTGAACTTTTATATTCTATCTTTATTCCTTAGTAAGTATCCTCTACATTTGGGATAAATACTCTATTTTGTTTTTGACTACTTTTTCTGTGGCTTTTTACCTGGTTTTTTCTTCATTCTGCATGGATCACAGGATTTGTTACAGAATGCTTCCTTCTCCTGCTTGTCCGTACCTATTTTCTCATACAGTAAACATCTGTTTCTGACTTGTTACTGTCCCATTGGTCTCTCTGCAGTTTGGGGGTGCAGTCAAGATCCCCCCCAAGGAGGCCACTGGCTTCCTCCCAGGGAACAATTGTAGTTGCCATCTCCTGGGTCCTCAGGACTGCAGACGCTGGCTGGTCACTGCCTCTGGTGAGTCTCTTCAGGACTGCTGCCCATGAACCAAACTCATAAGAGACTGATACATAAAGCAGAACAATAGTTCACTAACTTATAGTGGATGTGACTCCTTTTCAGTGACAAAATGCACTTATCACCTCTCTGGCCCCAGATACCTGGGAAACTGAGGTTCAGGGGGTTGCTTTGTGCCTGCAGTCAAGACCCCAAGAGGGAGGCCGGGGAGCCATCCGGAATGTCTTTCAGACCCTGTAATCAATCCATGTCCAGCTCCCCTAAGTTCTGAGTACACAGTATTGTCCAGTGCTCTGTGCACTAGCTTACTCATCCTTCGTTTGGGCAGTCATTCCCAACAAGGGGCAGTTCTTCCCTTCCGGGACACTTGGCAATCACTGGGCACAATTTTGGTTTCACAGCTGGAAGGAGGTGCTGCTAGAATTGGTGCGTGGAGGCAGGGATGCCACCAACAGCCTACTGTGTGCAGGTCAGCCCCCACGAAGGAACAAACAGCAGTAGGGTCAAGGGTGAGAAATGCCAGTTTAGACCCATGAAAACTAAGCAAACAACTGACAAGGTGATTCACAAGGACACAAAGAATAGCATACGAGATGTCCAGGGTTTTGGAAGCTAAAAAACAGTGGAGGAGCATCTTGGGGGGGGAGGGGGGGTCAGGACCCGCCCAGCTCTCCCTGCCCCGGTAACTACCCCCCTCTACCAAGACTTAGCCAGCAAAGTGACACGGGGTCATCGGACACAGTAGAGCTGAGGGCCAGGCTGAAGAGGATAGCTGGTGAAAGGCAAATGCATCCAGCTGCCTCGGTTTGGCAGTTTCTTAAAAAGTTAAGAGGAAACTTATGACCATGCAATCGACTCTTGGGCATCTGTCCCAGAGAAGTGAAAACTAATGTCACATAAAACTGGACACGAATGTCCATAGCAGTTGGAATAGCCCCAACATGGGAACATCTTCCGTAACTTGTACGATATCTAAGCCTGCACTGTTGATCTCCTGCCAAGCCCTTTCTAGAGAGGCTGCCCCATTTGCATTCTCAACAGCAATGAATGCGAGTTCCAGTTGCTCCACATATTTGCAAGACAGTACTTGTTAGCATTTTTTCAAAAATTGTAACCCAAACAAAACAGGGCTGTGAGCTTAACGGGGCTCAGAGCCACCTATTTTTTGCCTCTGGTTTAGAAAAACAATACAATCACTTTGTGAATATCCAAGAAAAATTCCGAGTCCTGCATAAAATGATCTCCATTAAATACAGAATAGTTCCACTGTTCTCCAGCTCACATTCAAAACCTTCCCTGATTTGGCCTCTGCCCACCCACCTTCTTCCCCATCCCAAAAAGCCTGCATGCAGCTCCATGCATGTCCTGCCCACACCTCGCCCACATGACCCATTCAGGGCAGTGATGCTGGGGAATTGCATGAACAGGATTTCCTGGGTATGAGCTCCTTCTTGGGAGACCAGGGTCAGGTGTGTGTTCAGGAGCCCCCACCTGATCCTCGGGGCCTCCAGCACACACAGGAAACTCACTCAAGACCCCAAGGTTCTGCCCAAAGCTACAGCCCTGCTGAGAAAGCCTGAGCTCCAGCATTAATGCCTGTGGACTATTTGACACTTGCAGAATGCCATTTCACTTATTTCTCAGGGCAGCCCCCAAAGTTTATCCCCTAACACATAGTCCAGAGGGAAGCTTCAGAGAAATGGGCACAGGCCTTGTAGCCTTAAGAGCAGATCAAGGACTGGAACTAGCTCCCACCTGGAGTACAATGTTGTCACTCAGCAGATACACACAAAAGTACTCAGCTCAGATGCCCCAACTCAGTCTTCCTCCACTCGAGCAGGATTTGCCAACTCCAAATCAATGCCATGCACAGCTGGAATCAGCACAGATTTAGTGGAGCATCAAGGGGCCTCCAGAGGACAAGGGGCCCTGGGGATAAGACCTCATCAGAAGGGCTGACCGACACCTGGGACACCTAGTGATTTCAGCAGGGCTGGACAAGGTGCAGGCAGGACAAGCCTCCTGGTCCTGGGCTGCACAGTGCAGCCCACTCTCTTGTACCTACGGACATTCCATTGAAGGCTCTGCATTGTTCCTGTCTTCCTGGGACCCGGGACATCTTGCCCAGGGTCTGAGTGTCCCTGGACTTCAGGGCCAGCTTTCTCCCAAGGCCTGAGCCCTGCTCCCCTTGCTCCCCAGGGAGCATTCTCCCACTCCAGATTTGCTTCAACCTCTGCCCCAGCTCTTGTCCTAGTTGTTCCATTGGCCCAGTGTCACCCAAGGGCAGCACCTCCCCCATGCTCCTTTAGTCAGGGGGCCAAGGCTTGCCACACATCCCTGATGGCCCAGCTTCTCTCTCCTGCCTCAGCACCCCACCCTGACATTGGACATCTCTCCCTGGGGGGGTCCCTCCGTCTCTGGGCTGCCCTCCCTCTGCACACACCCAGCTTGGTGGTCCCCTGGCTCCAGATCCTCCCTTGCTGAGGCTGCCCAGAGGAGTTGTCTTCTTGCCTGGAGGCAAGTACCTATGCTGGACAGACTCATAGAACCCTCCCCTGGCCATTTATCCCAAGGAGGAGTGACACAATTTTCTCTTTTCCAGGTTATAAGGACAGGACTGAGAAACTATGGATGAACATCAGGAAAATTCAGGAAGAAAGAATTCCATGAAAAGGTCTTAAGAAAACTTAACAGCTACTCCTCAGGCCCTAGAGAATACATGTGGATGCCAGGGCAGTTTAGAGGAGTACTGGACGTAACAATAAGGAGTGAGACAGCCTGTTTTCCAGCAAGTTCCCTGGCGCATGATGGCCATCTGTAGAAAACCATCCTGAGGAAAGAGAGGTCATACTGAGCACGATGTGGGTGGAACTTTCAAATTGAATCTCACATCAATTACAGACGAGAATTCCAAGAGTAAAAATCTTGCCGCCACCTTTGTGTCACCTCCAGCACTCGCCCTGCCCCGGGGTACAAGGCACCCTGCACCCTTTAGAGTGTTGAAAGGGGGAAGTTAGCGTACAAACTCACAAACACAAAGAAGCCGTGTGGACCCAAGGACGGCGGGAAAGGATCCCACCAAGTCTGCAACCCCACTGACCCTGCAATCCTGCCCGAGCCAGGCTGCTCAGTAGCAGGTGCGCGGGAGCGCACGGCCCGGCACCGGGGGCAGCCTGCCTAGCGGCATCTCCCCGCCACCCCAGCCCGCACCGGGAACCGCGTCCCCAGGACTTAACAGGGGCAGGGGGGGGACGGGGTTGGAGAGGAGACGTCCGCAGCACCTGGCCCGGTGCGCAGCACTGGAGGACGGCGGCCGCTCCGTAAGGTCGGTGAATGCGCCGGCCGGTGGCTCCGCAGCTCCCGCGCCCGGGTCACGGCGGCAGAGCCGCAGCAGACTCCTAGACCGTTAGCACGGCCGCCTATTGCGGATTCCCGGCCAGTGAGGACGTGGAAGCCACGCACCAGCAGGGTCCTTGGAGGGGGCAGGGAAAGGCCCGGGCTTGGCTGCTGGCCCCGCCCCCGCGCAGCTACTGAAGCGCACGATCCTCCCGGAGCCCAGAGCGTCCCGGAAGTGCACGCAGGCGGGGACAAGGCGGAGCCGGGCGCGCTTCCGGCTGGCGCGCGGCGGCCTCCTCCCGCTCCAAGGTGAGTGGGCGCGGGACAGTGGTGGTGGTTCGAGGCGCAGGGGACCCGCCCGGCCCGCGTTACTGCGCGGTCTCCCGCGGTGCCGTCTTGTCCTGCCAGGCCGCACCACCCCTCCCTGAAGCCGTCCCTTGCCGTGGCCTTGGTCTTGGGCCGGGCCTGGGGGCGAGGGTGGGCTCCGCGTGGCGGCAGCGCACCACCTTGCCCCGCAGCCGTGGGCGCACCGGTCCCCGGGGATCGCGGTGTCCGTTTGCGGAGCGCCTTCCTCACGCCGGGTGACGGGAGCTGTGATCATACCCTCTTTGCAAGTGGGAAACTCAAGCTCGTGGTCCCTTGTCCGAGGTCCCACGGCTGGATGTGTGAAGCCGCCAGACCTGAACCCAGCCAGGCCGCTGCGCTCCGTGGCTAAGCTCCCCGAGATCGGGCCCTTTCCCACGGGGCTGGGAAAAGAAGGGGCACAGGTTAACCCAGAGCCGGTGGCAACCCCTTCAGCCTGTCGCAGCAGCGTGGGCGTGCAACGCAGTGTTTGTGCCCGAATCCTTGTGGGTGAAGGGGCTTCCACCCTGTTACTGCCACCTCTGCTCAGCCCTGAGGCCAAGACAGGGATCTTTTTCCAGATGAGTCCCCAATAAGTTAGCTAAATAACTTCAGATGTGACTCAGGATGGTGAGGACCTGCACCCAGCGTCACGCTGCAGCCCCGCCCTGGGTCCACTTACCTGGCTGCCTACCCCCTTCCCATCGTTAGGCAGTGGGGCTGGCCCACAAAGCTGGTCACCTTGCGGTGGCTCTACTGACTGCCTTTCCCCCTTGTTTGAAGAAGGTACTGTCTGTGACCCTTGCTGAAGGTGTAACATTTGTCCTTCTCTCCTCATGTTCTTTTTCACTGTCCACCCCAAATAAGGAGTTCCTACTTTATCACAGTATGAAAGAGAAAAATCATTTGTCCTATTGGACTCAAGCTATTTTTGCAAACCAAATTAAGGAAAAGTATCTTTGACCCCTGAATGAGTTTCAGAGCACTGTGGCAGTGACAAACTTGGGGGATTACAGCCTGCAGCCTCTGAGGACGCCATAGGATTTGAGAAAGAGGGTTCTGTTGTATGGTATTGTCTCCCCTTTGCTATTCAGGAAATGCTTTCCTAAGATTTCATCTAAAACATTCATGCCCCAGTAGGCATGGTTCATTTTTTTCACCCTCCCACAGGGCCAGTGACCCCCAGCTGAGGTTTTTCTGGAAGAATCAGCATTCTTTTCTCTGTGGGTCATGCTGTAGCTTGGAAGGACACTGCAGATCCTTTGCTGGGATGAGAGCTTTGGTTTAGCCCCTGTGGATCTGTCGGTGCATCCAGGTGGTACCCATGTAATAAGCGTTTCTTACTGAATAAACGTGCCAGGTCTCCAGATGGCCTAGTACTCCAGGCCCCACACGTCCCCACGGATGCACCTTTCATTCTTGTTCCCCGTTGAATGAGCCTCTGTCTCAGCTGGAGGGTTATCCTGTTCCCCTCCCTCCACCCCCCCCCCATCCCAGCATTCCTCTCCATACCCCTCATCTGCCATGGTTTTCATTTTCCCCAGGTCCTAGGTGTGCACACCTTCAGCAGGTCTCAGGGAAGATGGCAGCCCTAGGGGACGTTCAAGAGTCCCTTCCTGTCCAGTCCCCTGTCAGTCTCTCCTCACCGGGGACACCAGGAGCCCAGCACCACGAGGCACGGCTTCACCTCCACGGGCATCAGCATGGTACACACCCCACTCTGCTACTTTCCCTCTGCCCACATTCTCTACCCCATCTCCAGCACCATGGAGCCCTCCACTCTGACCTGCCACCCTGGCTGACTGAGTGGCACCACCAGACACTTGTGCAGCTCAACAGGATGCCGAGGCTCCCACATGCTTAGGCCAGAGCCCTCGGGGGGTGACACTGGGCTAGGATGGCTAAGACTGGGCCTGGGCACAAGCCCAAGCCCTGGCTCCCTAGGGGACAACCCCTAGGACTGTTTCTTTCCTGGGTTTGGGGTGTAGAAGGAAAATCTGGGTCTAGTGTGACCGGGAGCAAGTCATCTCCCTGGGTCTTTGTTCTCATGCCGGGAAGATAGAGTATCCAGAGTTCTTTCAAGCCTGTTGTGGGTGTGGCCCCTGAGGGACCTGCAGGGACAGAGCTGCCAGCCTTGCTCCACCCCCAGTGGTGTGGCCTCACTGGTGACCTGGTGGGGACTGGGTATCAAGTTGTGGGGGGAGTCCTAGTCCCATGGTGCCTCTGGGACCTGCTCCCTCTCAGAGGTCAAGGGGTTCTGAGGTTCTCTGCTGCACATACCAAGGATGCCCGGCCTCACCACCCTCAAGAGTAGGATGCTGGTATGGGCCAGTGCCCAACCTCAGTCCCACCCTTTGGCCAGGATCCTCACTCTTGATGGGTTTTGGCATCACAGTGGATAATGTAGTGACCGCTGAGGACTGTCGAGAGTGGCTGTGCTGGGTGTCAGGCACTGTGTGGATTATCTCCAGGTGAGGTAGGCCCTCCTGTCCTATTACTGATGAGGACGTAAAGCCCAGAGAAGAGACCATGAGGCCAGCAGAATCCATTCTACATTGGTCTGACTTGAGCCTATGCCCTTGACTCCTCTGAGGCCCTGAAGTGTGGCTCATCATGAGGCGCCAGTGTTTGGGGGAGGTGGGCAGACCAGCAGATCATCTGGGGGCATCAGGGGACACAGGCTGACGAGGCTGTCAGAGTGGGTTCTGCAGAAGGCCAGTGCCCAGGATGGAGGGTGGGCCTGGGGGTGCAGGGTTGGGCTTCCCCTGGCCCTGTCTCCACCAGCCATGGGTGGCTGGAGCATGGAAGGCCAGGCTTGGGCCCCTGCCTCAGAGGCCTGGAAGCCAGCCTGTGCGTGCCTCTTGGATAGTGGAACCATGTCCAAGTGCCCTAAAATCCTAGGAGCTTTGCCCATGGAGAGAGTCTGGGCTACATCAGTAGCTTTAGCTCTCTCTGTGCTGTGCCAGAGTCAGAATGCAGGAACACAGAGTGGCTATAAAGAACAGCTGTGAGGAGAGGAGGTGCCGGTGCTCCAGCGTGGAAGGGCCCATAGGGTAGGCCCTCCCGGGCACCACTAAGGGGCAGAGGCAGGTACCTCGGCATCTTTGGAAGCTGCCCAGGGCTTTCATGCCAGTCAGGGACCAAGCAAGGACTTCTTGGAGCCCCAACTCCCAGACCAGAATCTGAGATAGGCCAAAAAGAGGTTCCAGGGACCCACGTTGGAACGCCTGGGTCTCTCTCACCTACCTTAGGGCCCAGCAATCTCCGGAGCCCACCCAACATGCCTGGTCATTTCAGGAGCCTCCCAGTCCTCTCCACTCCCCACTGACAAATGGCTCCTCCAAAGGACATCCTTTGCCTCCCAGTCTGGGTACAGTGCTGTGCACCTGGCTGTGAGGCAAAGGATGTCCTTTGGAGGAGCCATTTGTCAGTGGGGAGTGGAGAGGAGGGCACAGCACAGGCAGAGGGGGTTTGCAGTGTCCCTATGGGCATGTAGCTGGGGTCACGAGGCAAGAGTGCCAGGCCACGTGCTGGCCTACCCTGAGCCTCTCAGAGCAGAGAGGCCGGGCAGATGGGGCAGGACACAGACCTTCTCCCAAGACCTCTCTGAGGGGCCTGGCACAGCTCCTAAGGGACTGCATTGTGTCCACCAAAGCCAGCACTGCCAGAGCTAGTTCTGGAAGGTTTGGTCAGGAGTCCTGCAGGTGGAGGGCTATCTGTGGGCCAGGGGATGGAGGAGGGCCTGTGGCCCTGTATGTGCTTACAAGTGCCTAGGCTGGCAGGGAGGGGGCCTGTGGCAGGGCCTACCCCATCTTTCCAGGTGGGGCACCTGAGACATGGACTCCAGGTGACCCACTGGCTCCCCCCAGCCAGCTGCCCCCTCTTCCTCACCCTGGGCCATAGCCAGGCACACATCACTTGCTGTGCCATTTTACATAGAAGAGAAGCCCCTTCTAGCCAGGGAAGTGTCACCTCCTTCCAGTCCCCTGGAAGGCTGAGCCTGCACAGCCTCCTTGCCCTCCACCTGGACAGCCCCCAGCAGGTGGACAACCTGGTGTTTCTCCAGTTGTTTCCCCACCCAGCATGGTGGGGAGTGCAGCAATGGGCTCAGTAGGAGGAAACTCTGGGAACTCACCAGGTGAGGGAGTCAGTGAGCCATGGGTGGGGTTGGGGCAGGCTGTGTACCTGGCAGGGACTGGCCCAGCCCAGGCACCGGGCGGCAGTGATAGCGGTTGATCAAGCTCTGCAGAAACATCCAGTTGTGGGGACAGGTGCTGGGAGCCAGGGCTTAGGCAGCAGAGTGACAGTGACCCACACTGTGACCTGCCTGCACCCGACCCTAAGGCGACTCCCATCTTCTCCCAGAGAAGGGCCTAGGAAGTGCTGTGTGTAGCTTAAAGGAGTAAACTCTCAGGGACCCAGGGGGCTGTACTGAGTCATCTCCTGCCTGCGCCAGTCCCTCCCATACCAAGGTGAAAGCTGTTCATAGTTGTCCAATGTCCTTTAATCCCATCACTTCAAAGTACTTCCAAGGGTTTCTCCAAGCACTCCTGCAGGTGGCAGCAGCTTTGGCTTGTTTTGTGCCCTGGGTTGTGTTGGTGTCACTGTGCCTCTTACAGTGACATCCTGCCTGTACATGTGAGGGCCCCAGGAACAAAGCTGGAGGCCAGAGTCTGAACTGCTTTCTTTCTCAGAGTCCTGCTAAGTCCCCTCTGGCGGCATCCAGCCCAGGCAAGGGTGGCAAGGGTGTCTGCAGCTAGTGTGGGCACAAGTGTGCCTGAGAGGTGGCTTTGGGAGGCCCACTCACACCCACTGCTCTGCAGGAGTATGTTGGGGGAAGCCTGCCCTGCATTTGGCCATCCATGGAACAATCTAGCTCCTTTGGCTGCTAGGCGATGGTGACATGGTGGCCATAAGTGGGTCACAGCTCAGAGACGCTGGTGCTCCCAGCCTGTCCCCACATTGGGGAGGGCACCTGGACCCCTCTACCTTGCTTCAGGGCAGCCATGCAGGTCCTAGCGACCCCTCTACTCTCAGGAAGGGGGTGTCCCACGGCTGCACCCACCCCTGGAACGTCCCAGCCCTTCATGGCTCTGTGGAGGGGAACTACCTACAACAGGCCAGGGCCCCTTCCCTGCCACACAGCTACCAACTCCCCTGGCTCTGCAGAGGGACTCCAAAGGGGGCAGATGTGAAGGGCCAATGGGTGTGTTGGGTGTACATGTGGCCAATGGGCAGAAGAAACCAACAGCAAAGGCCCTGCCCTCGAAGGCCGTCTCCCTCATTCATAAAACATGCAGCCAGGGCAGCGCCTGCTTGAGGTTGGAGAGTTCCCTGAAAGGCTCACTGCTTGGCACTGGCATAGGGCGTGAGGATCCAGACCCCGTGCCCCCCTCTCCATTGGCACCACGTGACACTGGGGGCACCCATGCCCAGAGAGGCCCAACGTGCCCTCCATGCTGTGGGCAGAGGGCAGAGGAGGCACTGTCGGTGGGGGAGCACTGAGGACACGGGTCAGACACACATACACACACACCCCTACAGAGAGGGGTGAGCTGACAGCTGGCCTCAGGCAGCAGAGCCTGGGACAGGGCCCCTCCCTGGGAACACTGAGGGCCCTGCTCAAAAGCAGTGCGTTCCTGCATCCTCCCTGCTGTGGTCATGCTCCACTAACACTAACGTGACGTGCTTGGAGACTCAATGTACCATCTTGGCTGTGGGCACCTGCACCTGGAGTGTCCTGGGGATGATGAGCTGACCAGTGGGCCCAGCCCATCCCTGCTTCTCTGCCCGAAGGTGGGGAGCAGGTCCCCTCTACAGCTCAAGCAGCCAGCATCAGTCCCGCAGTGGGCCTTGGTGTGGACTTGGCAGCTGGAGGGAGCCTGGGGCTTTGGGGCATGTTGGAAATGGCTGCTTCCACCTGTTCTGGGTGCTGGTCAGGGGCTCTCCCCTTTGTGGGCAGGGTCCTGGGACTGGGTCAGGCAGTGGGGAGTCCAGGAGGGACAGTAAAAGCCACAGGCAGAGAGTGACTTTGTGAGGCAGGAGCACTCCAGTGTGAGAGCCTGCAGGGTGGCAGGGGATGGGGCAGGGGCAGGCTGTGCACCTAGCGGGGACTGGCCCAGCCCAGGCACAGGTCAGCAGAGATGGCAGTTGATCAAGCTCTGCAGAAGCGTCTAGGTGTGGGGGCAGATATAGGGAGCTGGGGTTTAGGCTGCAGAGTGAAGTGACCTACACTGTGTCCTGCCTGCATGTGACCCTAAGGGGCCTCATGGCCAGGGCCTGTCCAGAGCAGCGAGAGCCATCACAGGGTGAAAAGGTCAAGCCAGAGTCGGCCAAGATGACATAGCCACCCTGGGTGAGCAGGAGGGCCGCTGTTTTGTCTCTGCTTACTGAATTAAAGGGGGTGAGCTCCCAAAGCGCATTTCAGGAAGGCTTCCTGGAGGTGGGGGGGCGGGTCTTGACCAGGCTGGGAATGAAGTTAAAGGGTGTTCCTGGCTGGAGAAACTGTAAGCAGCAGCACCATTGCAGGCTGGTCTGCTGTTCGGGGCAACACAGAGGCCAAGGAGGTGTGCTTGTAGGCATAGCTGCCAGTCCATGTGGTTCTAGAGAGACGAGGGAGGCAGCACTGGAGAGTGGGAGGTGAGCCATGGCCTTCCTGCCCCCCAGGTTCCCCCAGTTCCATCCCTGAGGTGCTCTCCCAGCTGTCGGACCTGGATCTCCAAGACATAGAAGAAGTTGAGATCGGCAGAGACAACTTCTGGCCTGGTGAGTGAGGAGAACCTCCCCTGGCGGCCTCAGGCTGCTCTCAGGGGCTACTTGGGGCTGGAGCTCCTCACAGTGCCAGGCTCTGTCAACACCCACAGCCATAGGCACCCCTGCCTGGGGACCCTTCCAGTCCCTGGCTCTGGCCTCCTCCCCCATTCTAGATGCTTCCCAAGGCTGTGACTACATCCTAGACCCCTCCTGTGGATCCCAGACACCTGTGGCCACCTGCCCCAGTGGCCTCCGGTGTACTCCCGCAGACCCACTCTGAACATAAGAAAGCAGACTCCTTTCCTTCCCCTACCCCCTGCCTTGGGCTAGGGTCTCTGACTCAGGGCACCACTGTCCCCCCCAGCCAACTGGGGAGTCATCCTGGGCCCCCTCCTCTTCCACTGTGTGTGCCCTGGGACTGCTATCTGTCCCCTTTGTGGAGCTCTTGGCTGAGCTGTGTTAAGCCTGACCCCCACTACCATCCCCCTGAGAAGTCCTCGGGACGCTTCCTTGAGGTCTTCAGCACAGCACGTGGTCAGCATTTGGTGGCATTAGTGATACCAGCTGGATTTCACGGCTCTGAGCTCTCCACCCACACCTGGGTGGTCCTGGGGGACAGGTGTCTGGGGTCAGGTCCCTGGGAAGTAGACCTTACAGCAGAGATTTTGCAAGGAGGTCCCAGGGGGGTGAGCAGCAGTGCAGTTGCCACGCAGGCCTGAGCCAGCCCCATGGAAAGATCTGGAGCAGGCATGAGCCCATCGGGACTTACCCTCAGGCAAGGGCAGAACTTGGGATTCAGCAGCTGGCCTTGCTATAGGGATGGGACTGCACCTGGTGGAGTCTGGGCAGCCCCACAGAGCCCTTTCGAATAGGATGGCTTCACTTCTCTCTGATCCCTGGCGTGTCACTTATCTTCCGTGGCCCTGGGGCCATCCCTCTCCCCAGCCTCTCAGGTATAGGACCACTTTCCAGAGCCTTCCAAGTTCTAGACCCTCACTGACACTCAGTGTCCACCTTGGCACCTCTTTCCCAGGTCATAGGTCTCATTAGCCATTGCAGGTTCCATACCTGGGTTCAGGCCAACAGAATGACTGGGTGGTCCTAACAGCTCTCAATCACCCTGCAGCCTCCCGACCCCATCCTTAGGACAGCCCTCTGGCCAACACTCAGAGCCTCTGCCTGAGTTCTCATGGATCTGGTGTCCGCCTCCTCCCTCATCTCTGAGCCTCCCTGGTCCCCGCCCCCTCGAGTGCCACAGCAGGGGCTTGGCAGGCGGACAGAGGCATGGGCTGGCACTATCTGCCTCTACCCTTTCTCATTTCAGATTCCGAGTCCCAGCCGGAGCAGGCTGCCTCTCCCCACTTGCACATCCCTGCAGACAGGGTGGACCAGGATGGGGGGACGTTGCGGGGCCTCCTGAGGAGCCTTCCCCGTGGAGCCAAGTGTCCAAGCCTTGGGCAGGAGTCCAGCTTGGAGCGGGCTGCCGAGCTGGGCGGCGGCGGCTTCAGCCTGGGCACAGGCCTCGGGACGCAGCAGGGCAGCCCGAGGGGGGCCAAGCCGCACCGGTGCGAGGCCTGCGGCAAGAGCTTCAAGTACAACTCGCTGCTGCTGAAGCACCAGCGCATCCACACAGGTGAGAAGCCCTATCCCTGCCACGAGTGCGGCAAGCGCTTCCGCGGCTGGTCAGGCTTCATCCAGCACCACCGCATCCACACGGGCGAGAAGCCTTACGAGTGCGGCGAGTGCGGCCGCGCCTTCAGCCACAGCTCGCACTTCACGCAGCACCTGCGCATCCACAACGGTGAGAAGCCCTACAAGTGCGGCGAGTGCGGCCAGGCCTTCAGCCAGAGCTCCAACCTGGTGCGCCACCAGCGGCTGCACACGGGCGAGAAGCCCTACGCCTGCAGCCAGTGCGGCAAGGCCTTCATCTGGAGCTCCGTGCTCATCGAGCACCAGCGCATCCACACGGGCGAGAAGCCCTATGAGTGCGCCGACTGCGGCAAGAGCTTCCGTGGCCGCTCGCACTTCTTCCGGCACCTGCGGACCCACACGGGCGAGAAGCCCTTTGCATGCGGCATCTGCGGCAAGGCTTTTGGCCAGAGCTCCCAGCTCATCCAGCACCAGAGGGTGCACTACCGAGAGTAGCCAGGGCGGGGACTGGCTGGCTGGGGCCCAGGGAGGTTCCAGGGTGGAGCTTCTGCCTCTCCTGACCGCAGGCCGAGGGTCCCCAATAAATTCTTTTTGAGGATGGACATGTGAGCACAGGCTCCTGCCTAGGGGAGGCCTCCAGCTGCTTCCTGTCCCTGAGGGCCTGATGCGGAACAAAGTGACAGGGCTACTCCATCAAGACCTGCCATGTGGCACCCCATTGTCCCCTGAGGGGCCTGAGGCCTGGTCTTACCCAGAGTCAGGCTTGCCTAATGCTGACACCTCAAGAGAGAAACCCAAAGCAGGGGGGACAAGGACAGTGCTGGCTTGCCTAGAGGAGGGTACACAATGCAGGCCTGGCCAGGCTGCCTCTCCTCCATCCTGAGCCTGGGATCTCTTTGGCAGTTAAGTTCCCTTAACTCTTTTGAAGGTCCCTGATTCTAGTCCATTCTAAATGTGGCGCATTCTTCAGGAACAGTTCTCGGGTCTGTGCCCCCTCACCCCTTGCCTTTGCATGCAGCTGTGGCCCCGGGCCCGTAGGCTACCCCAGGAGGTGCTTCCTGCCCACCTTTCCCTGCCAGGCCTTCAAAGTGGCTTCCAGCTCTGGGAAATTGGGGCAGGGTGGGTGCACAGGTCTTGACAGGTGCAGGCTGCTACGGCTGGGTCAGAGCCATGGCCGTCTGCAGATCTGCTGTGACTCCTCTCCTTGACAGGGCAGTCTCAGTCCAGCTCTGGGACTTCCAGCCCCTTGTGGTAAGTAACGAGCTCAGCTGGGTGGTGGTGGCAAGGAATAAGTGTAACAGCACTTTCTCCCTGCCCCACCTGCACATTCTGGAATGGTTGGGGGGGCCCACCCCACCTTGACTAGTCATCCTGCCCCTCTGCAGGCTGCACCTCTCCAGGTCTCACTCCCCCAGTCCCTCCTCTCCTGCTGTGATTCAGATGTACCTGTACTGGAGCAGGTCGTTTATCCTGTTGGAAAACAAAAGCTAGTGGCTTTTGTGGCATCGTCTCTGGGTGCCTGCACTGTCCACATATGATGTCATTGGCCCCCAGCAAGCCCATTTTCCAGAGGATACTGAGGGTCCAAGGTGTCCCGTAGCTTGCTCAAGGTCACAGGAGCAGTGACAGCACACCAGACCAACCCCAGGGCTCCCTGACCAGCCATCCACCTTGGCCATCCAGACCCCTGCCGAAACAGCAGGCCACGATTCCTCATCATGAGCTCTGCAGTCACGGCTGGACACAGCTGTGAGGGCAGGGCCCATCCACTTCCCTGCCGCCTAGTGGGCCTTGGCTTGAGATTCTGATTCTTGGGCCTGAGAGGTGGGGGTAAAAACGCATGCCCGCCTTCCCTTCACCTCAAGTGTGTAGCGTGAGGCTTTGGCCCTTGGGCAGCCAGGCTGAGGAGCTGCCTCTGCAGGGACTGCCCTGTGGTCCTAGACTCTCCACCAGTGGCCCGGGGTGCCTTGAGGGATGGGGCCAAGTGTGTACAGCCTTGCAGGGGTAGGACCAGATGACTCCCCTACGGCCCACACCAGACCCTGGGGCCACAGGCACGTGCTGGGAAAACTTGGGGGGAGGGGCCTGGCGCATGCCGTAGGCCAGGGCAGCTCCTCCAAGCCACCTCATAAAAGCTCAGCAAGGTCATTGGCCTTTCTTGTTGGGCAGGGCCTGCCAAGATGAGCTGGAATGGTACCTGTGTCTCCCTTGGTGTCCTTGGCTCCCTCTCCAAGCCCAAGAGCACTGGACTGATTGTCAAACATTCCATCTGATCCCCTCAGCATTTCCCAGGAACCCAGAGTGGGCCCCGTAGGACCCAGACGTGACCTTTTAAGGGTATTTTCTCTGCCTTGTGCCCACCCAGTTCATCAGCACCTTGCTGAATGGGACATGACATCATCCCTCCCTGAGCCCTCCTGGGACGCTTAGGTGTCCCCGATGAATCCACGCTGCGCTCTGTCCCCCTCCATGGTTTACATCACCCAAGGCACCCTGTCAACACCTGCCAGCCCTAGGGCTGGTTCCTGAGCCCCCAGTTCCAGCGCTGCTGCCTTTGCGTTCTCTGAACCAAATCTGGGCGCAGCGCCATCCAGAGGTCTCTCAGCCAACATCTGAGCCCAAGGTGCACCAACCCCACACCACCATGCCATCCCTTCTCTGACACAGTTCCTGAGCTCCCGGCCTTCAGCCTCTCCCTCTTACACAAAGTGACCAGAACCCGATGGTCTCCAGGAGCTCAGGTCTGGGGTCTAACAGTGCTGATTCCAGGCCCTGCATAGAACCCATTTCCGCCTCTGAAAATGGAGCTAGCACAGCCCTTCTGGCACTGCATATGGAGGTCGGGTGTTGAGTTCTTTGTGCACTACTCGGCACAAATCCCCATAAAAAGGGCTCCCACAATGGCTCTGTCAACACCCAGGGACAGTGTAAGTGGACAGTCATAGCAGGCTGCCACCTGAGGCCCTGGCTGGCCACAGCCAATGTGAGGGACCATCAAGAGGATCTGGCAAGGAACCAGGAGCAGGGTTGTGTTTCAGAACCCAGGAAGTGATTGTGTCTGGCACAGTGTCTGCTTTGGGCCACAGAAGGAAATGCCCTAGAGGGATGCTGAACTCCAAAGCACTGGAGCTGCAAAAAAAAGGGGGCCCTCTGAACAGCTTGCAGGAACCCCAGCCACGGGAAGGGAGGACTGAGAGCTGACCTGGTCTCAGGCTTGGGTTTTGTGTGGAGGCCTTGGAGCGGGCTGTACATGCCTATGGATTAGCAAATAAATGAGCTTTAGCTGGGAGAGTTTTCAGTTGGATACAATGGTTTTTATTTTTACATAGATTTAAATCAACTTTGAAATTTAAAGCTCAACTCCACACTTAACTGTGAGGTTGTATTAACCTCTCTGAATCTGTTTCCTAATTAGTAAAATGACGTATTGGGTTCTCCAGAGAAACGGAACTAATAGAGTATGTGGTGGGCAGGGAGGGAGAGAGAAGAGAGAGAATATAGGGAACTGGCTCACATGATTATGGAGGCTGAGCAGTCTCAAGACGCAGAGCTGGAGGCAGGAGAGCCAAAGGTGTAAGTTCCATTCTGAAAGCCAGCAGACTTGAGAGCCAAGAACTGATGTTTCAGTTTGAGTTTGAAGGCAGGAAAAGAAATGTCCCAGTTCAAACAGTCAAACAGAAGTTCCCTGCTCAGGCCTTTAACTGACTGGATGCGGCCCACTCACATTACGGAGAGCACCCTGCTCCACACAGTTCATAAATTCAAATGTTAATTTTCTCCAGAAACACCACAGCCCAGTGCTGGTTACTCTCCAGACAAGGATAACAAATTGGCAAGGCCCCTATCTATGACACTTTTAAAATCCCCACAACCTTTTCAACATGTTCACTTGTTTTTGCATGCTTGATAGATTCACGATATTACTTTAATGAGAAACATGGCTCTCTGTTGTCCCACGTCCTTACTCCATCACGTGGCAAGGTGTCTGCTACACACACACACACACAAATACTCACAAGGACTGGTCCAGGTCTGTCCTTGCTTCATCACAGCACCTAGCACAGGGCCTAGGTCCTGGTCAGCTGTGGACGAATACACGCGCAACTGATGACTTGTTCTCACTCCAGTATTCTCTTTTCAAGATGTCTAGAGCAACTCACCTTTTTTCAGTCCTTACTTCAGACTAGGAGGGAGAAAGAGCCTGAACAGAAGGTCAAAGTCTAAAGGAGAGGACGGAGAGACCCCGCAGGGCGATGCTGAGAGCGCCAGAGAGGAGCCCGGAGGCCTGGGCATGTATGCGAGGGAGGGCGGAGAGAGCACTGAAGATCCAGTCAGGAGACAGAAGCCTCACCAGTTATTTCAACAGACAGAATTTTATGAATTGTAACTACGTATAAGCTGGCTAACTCGGCAACCGAAAAAGCACGAAGAGAACCCTAAGGCACCTCCGAGGGAGCACCGCAGGGAGCGGCTACCACTCTACAGCTGCGGAAACAAAGGGAAGAGATTGGAATCATCGGTCCCAAGGGTTGGGACCCCTCTCCGCGGAGGGGTCGTCCTGGCTGGAGCCCCCGCAGGGGCGCGATAAAACTGCCTCAGCGAAGACGCGGACGCTCACCCAGACTTCCCCAGAGTTGCACAGCAATGCCCGGAAGAGACGCGGGAGGACCGCAGGCAGGCCGGAAGGAGTGTGTCCCTCCCTCCGCCCGAGGCTCGTCCCTTTCTCTGGCGCCCCTAGCGGCAGAGCCTAGCATGATGGTCCATCCACGCGGGTTTGCAGAGCCCGCCCCGCGCTGCAGGGCTGGCGGGTGTGGACCTGAGAATTGAAAACCTGACACCTGGATCTGGAGGGCGGGGAGGCCTCATGCATCGTGCGTTATTCACAAGATAAATTCCGAAGGCCACAGTTTATTCGGTGCCTCAGGAGCGTCCGGATGTTAATGGGCCAGAATCGAGATCTCGAGCCAGACAGTCCCCCACAGTGCAGGGAAGGCAGAGGCGGACATTTGTCCAGATGTGTGCATAGGGTGAGAACTTGTGGGCTTCTAATTTGTCCTGGGTGATTTCCAGCCCTCTTTTGGGTCTCAGGCAGGCAGAATCACCTGCCCACTACTATGTCAGTATCTGCTAGTGCCAGCACCCAACCCTGGGTGTGCCTGACCCGGGCACGGGCAGCACTTCTAGGAGGTGCTGCCCCTCGAGCGCCCTGTGGGATGAGGCGCCCCCTCGTTCACAGGGCAGAGTGTCCAGCCCAGTGAGACCCTGAGCCCAGCTCCTGCCTGGGGCTCTGTGACGACAGAGCGGGAGGATGCTGCATCTTAAGTTCTGGGATGCTCTCCATTGCTTTACACTTGAAGGACAGCTTGGGTGGGTGTCAAGTTCCTAGGCCATGTGGTTTTGGTTTGGGGCTTTTTTTCCTTGCAGAACTTTGCTGAGCCTGACCCTGACCTCACCATGGGAAAGCCCATGACCTCTGCCCTTTCTCTGGAATGTACCTCTTCAGCCCAGATACCTTAATCATGCTTTCCTTATCCCTGACTTTGAATACTTCACCAAGATATGTGCTGGTGTTTAGCCAGGTGTGGTAGTGTGTGCCTGTGGTCCTAGTGGTTCAGGAGGCTGAGGTGGGAGGATTACTTGAGCCCGGGAGTTCAAGTTCAAGGCTGCAGTGAGCTATAATGAAGCCACTACACTCCTGTCTGGGCAACAGAGCAAGACCCTGTCTATACACACACACACACACACACACACACACACACACATATGCTGGTGTTGATCATTTTATGTTAATTTTCCTGGGATATGATGTTTTTAATTTTTTTTAATTAGGATATAACTTATATAATTAAAGTGCCCAAATTCTAAGCACACTGCTTAACTTTTTACATATGTTTACACTCTTGTAAACCCACCCAGGTCAAGACATGGAAACTTCCAAAGCCTCCCCTCCCAGTCAGTGTCCCCCAGGAAGACATCTATTCTAGCTTTTAGATGGCCACCTGAGTTTGGACTTTGAGTCAGTGGGATCACAACACGTGCACTGCTGGATCTGGCTGCATTTGCACAGCGCCGCGTGTGAGATCTGCCCACGTCGTTCCCTGTGCCTGTAGTTCGCGCTCTCCTGACTGACAAGTACTTTTCCTATTTTGTGTTCTTTCGACTTTGGGCTTCAGCTCTGCACCATGGAGAAATTTTATTCCTATTTCATGTTTGAAGGGCTGCCTCTGTCCTTTTGCTCTTCCTCTTCTTCAGAAGAACCGTCTAGAAGTATCTGCCTTCCACATCTTCTTTTAACAATTGTTCTCTTGTTCTTTACCCACTCTGCACCAAGATCTTGGTGCACTGCATTCGCCTGTTGATCTCTCATTTTCTACTCTTAGATCACTGGTGTGTCTCACTTCAGACCTTCTCACACACAACCCATTTATTACCTCTCAGGGAGGAGTCTGCACACAGCTTAGCTGGGGTCCCTGCCCGCGGCCTCATCAGGTGCAGGCCAGCTGTGACCCAGCTGTGCTCTCTACTGGAGCCCGAGGTCCTGTCTGAGATTGGTGAGGTTGCTGGCGGAGCTCAGTTCCTGAGCTGTAGGGTAGAGCCCTGGATTCCAGGAGACAGTGCCTGGCGAGGCCCTGCGCTGCTCCTGCTCTCTGCTGGGAGCCTGTGACACCTTTCCTACCCTATTCTGTGCCCTGCTAGCTCAGGGTCTCTACTTTGACTTACAATCTCTTCTTTGAACAATAGTATCCTTTCTCTGAGCTCTTTTAATTTTTTTAAAGAGATGTCATTTGTAATTTATCCAGTGTAATATTTTTGCAAGTTAATGTGTCAGGTGTATAGGTTCATGGAAATAGTTCTAAAGGCCACCGCCTTTTCAGTCTCTCAGTTATATAGTTCCCCCACTGAGTACCACCTGCCCAAAATAGAATCCCTCCACCCCTCCCATCAGACAGAGATCTTGATCTCCTTTCCCTGCCACCGTTGAAGAGTTGGTCTTGTCTTCTTGGTCTCTCCGTTCTCTGGTTCAGTCTGGTGACATTTGCTGCCACTCTTTCTGGTTTCAGGCCCTGAGGAAGAGACAGGACCCCAGGGCGACCGTTGGGGAGAGCGCCCAAGGCCGAGCCACGGGGTCAGGTCCTGCGGAAGCATCAGAGCTCGCAGAGGCAAGCTGCGCTGCCGCACCCCAGGCAACTGTCGGGGAAGAGGCGCCACGGAGCAGAGCCAGCCTCGTAGGGCCCCTGGTGGCCCGCCAGGAAGACTATGCGGGAGGGAGCCCTTCGGAGCCGGTGGGTATCAGAAAGCCCCGAGAGTGGCCTACAGCTTGGAGCCCCCAGGGGGGCGCGCGGCGAGTGCCACAGAGCTTTCGGCAGAGGTCAGACGTGGGAAACGCCTGCGCGTGCCGCCAGACCTCTGCACAGCTAGCTCTGAGCGCAGCGCCTGCGCTCCCACCGCGGCGAGGGGCCCTGCGAGAGCGGGACTGCGGGCGCGCGGTCGGGCTCACATGCAAATGGCTGTGGCGCGTTGTGCTGCTCCGAGTGCGGCGGGGCCTTCCCTGCAGCACCGGGGGGTGCAGGGTACCTGGCACAGCCAGCCAGCCCCCTCCGAGGCCTCGGCGGGGGCGCGGCGCGGCTGTCCCTCCCTGCTCCTCGGAAGCCGAGGCCCTGAGCGTCCAAACACCTGCTCAGAAGCGGCCTCCAGCGCCCGAGGTGCGCTCCAGCAAAGCCTTGGCGAAAACCCTGGGCCAGCGCCACCACCAGGCCCCTCGTAGAGCCTTCAGGCAGCAATGGTGTTTAGGGTTATTAAAACAAACAAAAAATGGTTAATCCGCACCAGGCACATTCACTATGTAGCCTTTTACAAAAAAGTGCGCAGACTTGTGCCCCAGGTAACTTATATTTTTCCAGGAACTGCTGTGAGACGCGCCGCCCTGCAGCAGGCCTTCCCCAGTCCCCAGAGCAGGGGCAGCGCCCAGAGTGAGAGGGGCCCGGAGGGGGCGGGCTGCGGGCCACAGGGTCTGAGGAGGGCCCGGGCGGCCGGGACCAGGGGGCGACTCCGGTTCTGGTGGGTGGGGAGAGAGGGGATGCGTCTTTGGAAAGGGGGCAGTGACATCTGGCACGGTGGGAAGGGGCCCGGACTGTGTCCAGTAGGTAGTGGGGAGTTCCAGAGAGCGAAGCGCCTCAAGATCAGACTTGAGTGCTGGGAATACCACTTGCCGGGGAAGAGCAAGTCTTCAGAACACCAACAATGTTCGCTGAGAAAAGGGAAACTTATACTTACACTTTTTCCATCACTCCTTTTAAGTGTTTTCCTTTTTGTATGTGTTTTGTAATTCTATATAATTTGTTACAAATAAAATGCAGCATGTGCTGGGTGTGTACTCAGAAGTGTGTACTGCTGCAGTGTTCAAGGGAGAAGATTGCAGGCAGGAGTTGCTGAGGGTAGGGTGGGTGAGAGCCGCAGGTGCAGGAGCCCAGTTACCTGGGGGTGGGGGTGGCAGGCACACTGGGGAAGGCACACTGGGGACAGACACCACATGGCATGTTTGTGGACACAGACCAGTGAATGGGGCTTTGGCCCTCCACTCTGAGCCCATCAGACCTGCCTGGCATCACTTGAGCCTCTTCAGGTCCTCTAGGGACTTGCCAGCCCTCTGAGCCCCCTGGGGCCTGGACCTTTGGAGTGGGGCAGACCCCTACCAAAGCAAAGCTGCAAGTGACAGAACACTCCTCAGCACTGTCTTGGGCAGCACATGAGGGGGGGGGCTCTGAGGCAGCTCCCAGGATTGGAGGAGGAGCTTCAGGAATCCAAGCAGCTCCAGGTTTTCTGGTTGGGACCAGAGCCCTGTGAGAGACCACGTGGCCTTTCTGTCAGCTCCTGATTCTCATCTCTGTCTCATCTCAAGTCTGTGTGTGGCCTCAGTCTCCAATGCTGACTGGCCTTGTCCTAACACTGTCTCAGCCCAGGGCTGTGGAGGATCTTGAGGACTCTCACTCTCAGCTTCTGGGTAAAACCCTAGAGAGACTGAGCCACACCCCATCCTGTAGGGGGTAGAGTTCCAGAATGATCCGGTGGGAACAGAGGTGGAGGAGCCTTTTCCACCCCAGTTGGAAGGGGGTGCTGTTAACAGACTGCATGAGGAGGGGTCTTGAACAGAGCCAAACAACAGGTCCCCTCAAATGCATCCTGAATCTGTTGGAAAAGCAAAGCCAGCACAGATTTAGTGTGAATAAGTGACAGCTGGGCATCCAAAGCAACACATACTGTGATAGTGAACTGGGAAACGGGAGCCTTGAAGAGGAGGGTCACTTGCCATCTTAGTTCACTGGCATTCACTGGGTCACCTGAGGACATACTTGCATTTGATTTATAGTCTGTTATGGGGTCTAGATGAAACAGCCTTTCCCCACACTTTTACAAGCTTATAAATATCTTATTTTACTTGTGCTTGTCAGGACTTCACATTATTGATAAAACTTTTGACAAAACTCGTTTTTGCTATTATATAAGCAGAGTATATGGTAGAAAATTTGGAAAATGGAGAATAGAAAGAAGGAAGAAATCACACTAGTTTCACACAGCATGGAAGAAATACACTCTTAATTTTCTTCAATAGGAAGTCAAATTGTTCCTGTTCACATTAATTTTAATATCTATACTAAGTTTTTCCCTAATCTTTTTAGAATGGTTTGTATACATATGTCCCTTGGCCCCACAACACTTGAGTGTATACTTCCTGTGCTCAGAGATAATCTCTTAGAAAACAGTGCAGTTATCAAATTCAGGTTCTAGAATGGGGAGACAATGCCTTACCAACGCCCGAACTCCAGTTCCGTCTTCTCTTACTAGTGTCCTTCGTGGCATTGTTCCCTCCGGGCGCGGATCCTGTCGCAGGAGCATATCCTGCCTACTGTGCCAAGTCTCCTCAGGATTCCTTACTGCAGGTCGCTTCTTCAGCCTTCACTCTTCTCCTCAGAGATAGTCTATTCGTTGCAAGGGGAAAATACTAAGTACACAGTGGAAAACCAGGCAACACTGTGACCACAGGATCAAAATTATCACTGGATAGAGAAGAGCCGACGGACACCAGGCATCTCCGAATGGGATACCCCGATGACACCTCACTTTGCAGTGTTCCCGCTGGGAATGCACGAACCTGTCCAGTGACGAGGAGAGGGAAGGAGCTTGAGGAACGCGCAGGTGGCAGGGCAGACGCCAGAGCAAGAGACTTCCAGAGAAGGGAAAGCTTGTTGAGGACCGTCAGAGCTGTTTCCAGGAGCTCCCTGGGCTGAGAATGAGAGGTTTCAAGGGAGACCCAGAGGTGAGAAAACCCCGCCACGACGCAGCGCCCGCGACAGGTGCAGCCAGGTTTCTCAGCCGTGGTGAAACGCCAGAGCATCCGCTTCGCAGAGAAGCCGCAGGACGCAGTGCCCGCGGGAGGTCCCGTCCACACCTCAGCGTCCTCGTGCTCCGGAGGATCCCCGCCTTCCTGCAGGGCTCACAACGGCTTGAGGTCTTGTGAGCTGCGGGCGCCGCCTTCCAGGCGCGAGACCCAGCAAAGACACCGACCCCTCGGAGAGCCTGCCCGCCCCTTGGGCAGCCGAACGCGCAATCCTCCCGCGGCCCAGAGCGTCACCGGAAGTGCCCGCGCCGCGGGGGCGGGGCCGGCGGGGCTTCCGGCACGCCGGGACTGGTGAGCGGCTGGCCAGGCTGGGGCGGGTAATCGCGAGTGTGGCCTGGACAAGGCGTCTTTGCGCCGTCTGCTGTGTGCCGTCCACCCCAGTCCTCTCCTGGCGGCGGGCTGCTGCTGCGGGCGGCTGGAGAGGAGACGGCCCGCGCACCCGCTGTTCGTTTGCGGACCCCTGTGACCGGCCGCGGGGGCTTCTCTCCAGCCGAGAGCGGCAGCGCCTCCTAACCCCAGTCCCTGCCAGGTAGGTATAGCCGTTTAAAAAATCTACTTTTCAGAGGTGGTGGCAGAGGCCGGGGAGGCTTTGGAGGCTGTGGAGGCTTCCGAGGTGGAAGAGGAGGAGGAGGAGACCACAAGCCACAAGGAAAGAAGACGAAGTTTGAATAGCTTCTGTCCCTATGTCTTTCCCTCTTCCATTTGAAAGGACGGACTCTGGGGTTTTTTCTCTGTTACGTGATCAATGACAGAGCCTTCTGAGGACATTCCAAGACAGTATACAGTCCTGTGGTCTACTTGGAAATCCATGTAGATAACATTTCAAGAGCAATACCCTGTTGGTTTTGACTGGATATTCATATAAACTTTTTAAAGAGATGAGTGATAGAGATAACCCTTATCTGTAAGTTTTGAATTTATATTGTTTCATCCCATGTACAAAACCATTTTTTCCTACAAAAAGAAATCTACTTTTCAGAGTAAAAAAATGATATTTTAAATTACATGTCTTAATTGCAAATAATGTGGGACTTAAAAAAATATATTTCCCACTTGTTTTTCTTTTGTGAGTTACCTGTTGATGATCTTTGGCAATTTTTCGTACTTTCTCATTAACATGTAGAGGTCTTTATCAATTAAAGATCTGAATCTTTATGTTGCAAGTATTCTTTTTTGTTTTTGTTATTTAACATTAAATTTTTTTACTTAGTTAAATCTGTTAGGCTTTACGTTTGATGCCAGGCTTGAAAAAATCATTCCTCAATCCTAATTTGCACCATTCAAATCATTTGTTCTTATTTTTGGGGGGTTCTAATTTTTATATCGAAATCCTTATAATTATCAAGAAAATTTTAAAATTCATGGGCATTTGTCTAGACATTAGAGGACTGAAGGTGCTGGGTATGTTTGGCATCGATCTGAGAAGCCCACAGCAGGCAGCTTACGGAGGAGGCTGAGTCCATCTGTGCTCTGCATCTGCTGGGGCCAGGGTTGTGGGGGCAGAAGAGCCTGGGGTATCCCATAGAACACCAGTTTCTGGAGGTGTCTGTTTAGTCAGGATCTTCTTGATTGCTGGTGACAGAAGTGGGCCCAGCTGGGAGAGGCTGTTCCCTCAGGGTCCTCCAGGGCCCATTCTCTAAAGGCATTCTGACCTTACCCTGTACTTTTCCTCTTCCTAGCACTCACCATCATTTTTTTTTCCTTTTCTTCTCTTTATCCTAAGCAGAAATCGTTCCCACTGCTGGCGTTCTGCAAGGTGGAGTGACAAGTGGAGTCCGCAGGTCTGGTCTGTAGACACCAAGGAGAGGGATACCCTGATGGAGACCCCCACAGGTGAGGGGACACATTCACAGTTGGGCCCAGAGGCATTGGGAAAGGAACTTCCTGGGTTTAGGAAAGTGGGCACAGGATAGAAATTTGGGCTCCCCCAAATTCATCTGCCTGGTTGCTGCAGGGATGTAGCTAGGCTGAGGGGCATGACCCCACCCCATCCTCTCCTCAGCAACAGCCTGCTGCACGGCTCCTGCCACCCACTGTCCTCCCTCTTCCTGCTGCATCCCTGCCACCTGTGTCAGGTACTCTTCTGGCCACACACTGTGCGTCTTAATCTCTTCCTTTGGTCCCCCACCTCCTAGCCTGAAGACTTCTAAAGACGAGTATATTGATACCTGGCCTTGCTTGTCTAGGGTCCACCAGTGTCGGCTGCCCTAGGTTCAGAGAAGGTGACCAGACAGTGTTATGAGAGAACGTTCTGGCTAGCCTCCCGCTTTTGGGCCATTTGCCCTCTCAGGCTCCAGGCTCTAGGCTCCCTCTGTCCTGATGATTTAAGGCCACACCTGAAGGTTGTCAAAGCTACAGGCTCATACTTTAAGTTATTATGGTGCTATTATCACATTTTTATATAACTAGTACTAACAAAATGCCATCTTCTCTTAGCCGAGAAATGTGTGCATTTGTAGCTTTTTTACACTCATACTCTGATGATTCTTGTTCAGCAGTGAGACCCTGAGGACGATGTACCTGTGGCTGCCCAGAACATACACACATCTCAACACACCTATGGCTGAGTCTCCCGTGGGGTCAGAGGAACCCCCGTGTCCATGCACAGACACTCATCCTGGGGCGAGGGAGCAGTGAGGAGGGAACAGCCCAGAAGTGCCAAGGGGCTGCTCTTCAATCCCAGGGCTTCCCAGCTGCACCTCTCCCTTGTTTTCTTCCATCATGTTCAGGTCCAGTCCAGACGGTGCTCTTCACAGCCCTGCAGCTTCGGGCTGAATGGTAATTCTGACAAGTGCCAAGATAGAGTGGTAGAAACAAGTTAATCACACTAAAACCACCCGTTTTGAAAAGGAGTACAGGAAAACATACCTTGGCTGCTGCTGCAGAGCATGCACTGTGCCTTCCGAAGCAGGTCAAGGGAGTGGGGTAAACAGTGGATCCGTCAGATATCATGGGCATCTGTTTGATGACAGTGGACTGAGTTTCTTGGGCAGAAGGTCTGGCAGCCCCAGGTTCTGCCTCTGAGAAGATTTCTCTGTCAGGGTTTCTCAAGCTCAGCACCATGGACATTTGGGGCACATGAGTCTTTGCTGAGGGGCTGCCCCGTGCACTGTGGGATGTTCAGCAGCATCCTTGACCTCTGCCCACTAGGTACCAGTAGCACCACCACCAGTTGTGACAGCCAGAAGTGTCTCCAGACATTGTCAAATGTGCCCTTGTAGGGAGCGCAAAAATACCCCCAACAGGACACTGTTTTGTTTGGGGGCCCTTGGGGCCACCCTGAGAGTTTGTCACTGGAAGGAGCCCTTAGTGCAGGGCTGGGCAGTGCAGGGCTGCCTCTTGGTGCCTGGGATCACCTGAGGAGGGACGTAATGCTCAGGACCTGAAGGCTTGACCCAGGAGAGCATGAGCAGTTGTGTGTGGCCCTCCTCTCAATGTGATTTTGAAGACCTTTGAGTCAGTTTCTCGAACCTCTAAGTCTGCCAAACCATAAGACCAGGCTTGGGTTTCCTCAAAGGGGCTTTTGTTCTGAGCACCACACGGAGGCCTCTCCCACCTCCTACTGCTCAGTTGAATACTCTGTGCCAGGGTGTAGGTGGGAAACACCAATGGGAGCCTGTTGCTCTCCTCCATCCTGGGGTGGTGTACCTGCCCCCAGCGCACCCACATGGGCATCTCTGTCATATCTGCACAGTCTAAATTCTTGAGGGGTGCAGTGGAGAATTTAACTGCTTCATTTCAGCAGCCGCAGGTGGTCATAGGCAGAAAAGTTTCCCTCCACGTGCTGACTTGCTTGCCTCGGCAGTCCCTGTCCTCCACTGTGCCACCTCCTAACTAACTGTCCCTGTCTCTCATGAAGGCTGTGATACCAGCCAACATATTCTCATACCCCAATATTTTGCCACCACCTCCCTAAAGCCTCTAAGTGGCCACATGGTCCATCCCTGTGAGCCAATGGAATGAATTTAACCAGCTGCATCACTGCCCAAAAACAAGGGCCATCACTGCCCAACAACAAGGGCCGTCAGTGCTTAGCCTGTACAGGGAGGCCCCCAGCCCAGCCAGCACCACAGTCCTCCAATGGGATGCTGCTTACAACTCTTGGTACTAACTTCTGTCCAGATAAGGACTCTTTATATGCACATAACAGAAGACCTTTGAGTTTGGTGGGTTGTGGGGGTTGTTAAAGATACAGTGTTGTCTCAGGGAATCCAAAGTCAGAGAAAGAAGGTGAAACCAGGACACACCACCAGGTGCTTCTGTTCCTGTGCCTCCTGGAACATCTGCTTCCCTTTCATTCTGTTTTGCTACCAGCCAGTCCCCTGTGCATTGTGCATTCCTGGCCAGCTGGCAAATAAGGCAGTGCCAGAGCTTGTGTTTCTGGCCCCTCTACTCCCAAGACTGGGCACACAGAGGCTAAAGGCTTAGCCTGTTTCTGGAGGCACAGTGAAGGAGTCTATTTGCCCTCCTGCAGCCCCTTGCACACGCCTGTGACCACAGGCCTCAGGGAGCAGGGAGGGAAGCCAGGTAGGAGCCAGACAGGCAAAGTGCCAGGCAGCCACCATACACTGACTTCATGGCCATTGTTCCTCATGTCTGTTGACTCCCAGTGCCCTCTTAAATGCACACACAGCGTTTATGTTGTACTAGAGTTTTTTTATGCCTAAAACCATACCTATCTGACCTCTTTTCCAGCTATGAAAACTGCTTTTCTAACACAGGCCACCAAGCATGCAGCCTCATCTATCGAGCAATTAGCTCGGAGCACAGGGTTGACACCAAAGCAGGAAGCTTCAGAAGGAGAATGCCATAGAGAGGCTGCAGTACAGGGGCTTCCCAGAGCACTAGGGTCTATTGACATTGGTGCAAATGAGGAAACCGGAGAGAGACCCAGAGATGCTCCTTGGTGCCTGGTCACTCATGAGAAAACTGGAGGGCAGAATGGCCCTCAGAACGGTGTACCTGAGTCAGATGTTACTCTGAACACTGGCTCTGTGGCATATGGAAGAGCCCACTGGAAAGGGCGGCCCTATCAGTGCAACACCTGTGACCGGAGCTTCAAGTGCTATTCGGATGTGGTCAAACATCAGAGCATCCACTCTGGGGAGAAGCCCTTTGAGTGCAGTGACTGTGGGAAAGCCTTCATCCACAGCTCGCATGTTGTCAGACACCAGAGGATCCACAATGGGGAGAAGCCTTATGTTTGTAAGGAGTGTGGGAAAGCCTTCAGCCAGAGCTTCAACCTTATTAGACATCAGAGAATTCACACAGGAGAAAAACCTTATGAATGTACTGAATGTGGTAAGTCCTTCAGCCAGAGGTCAGATGCCATCAAGCACCAGAGAATTCACACTGGAGAGAGACTGTATGAATGTAGCGAATGTGGGAAAACCTTTATCCACAGTTCCAACGTTGTTCGGCACCAGAGAATCCACCATGGAGAGAATCCCTATGAATGTAAGGAGTGTGGGAAGGCCTTCAGCCAGAGCTCCAACCTCATCCAGCACCAGAGGGTGCACACCGGGGAGAGGCCCTACGAGTGCAGTGACTGTGGGCGTGCCTTCAGCCGCAGCTCCTTCCTCAGCGAGCACCGCCGGATCCACACTGGGGAGAGGCCCTACGAGTGCAGCGACTGTGGGCGTGCCTTCCGGGCCCTGTCGGGCTTTTTCCGGCATCAGAGGATCCACACGGGCGAGAAGCCGTTCCGCTGCACAGAGTGCGGCAAGGCGTTCCGCCTGAGCTTCCATCTGATCCAGCACCAGCGGGTGCATGGTGCAGAGTGAGCCAGTGTAGGGGGGAATGTGAGTGGAACGCCATGTGAGCAGATTGAGGGGTGGGCGAAGAGGCAGAGGTCTATATTCGTGCCATGTGTGGTACCGAAAATAATAAAGCCGTCTGGGTGATTTAAATTCTTGCCTCTATGAAAGCCTTGGGTCTGTCTGCCCTTGCTCAGGATCAGTCAGAAGAGAAAGGAGTCAAGGGAGAGACAAGCGTTACGGGTGCAAAGACCAGAGCAGGTTTTCCCAAAAAAGAGATTTGAGGTCCGGTCCTGGGCCTGGGTGCCTGCTGCTTACATGTCACCTCAGGCAGTATGTCGCCTCAGGCAGTATCTTGCACCCCTGTCACTCTCATGTGGAGCCTCGCCTGAGCCACCCTCACTCTTCACACGCAGTCAGCTGCAGTGAAACTCGTTTCCATGGCACTTGGTTTTCCCTGAGGTATCATTTACATATGGTGAAGTGCATAGATCTGAAGTGTTCAGTTACGAGTTGTGACGAACGACCTGTTTTGACCTTCAGAACCACCGTCTTGTCCAGACACTATTTCCATCACCCTAAGGAGTCCCATCACTGTCCTATCCACAGAGGCAACCACTACTGTTGTTTCTGTCAATGCAATCCATTTTCCTTGTCCTAGAACTTTCTATAAATAGAACAATAGACTCTTACGTTTGACTTCTTTCCCTCTGCTCAATGTTTTGGAGATTTATCCATGTGTCAGGTTTGTCTCGTTTTAGTTCCATAGCACTTTTTTTTTTTTTTTTTTGAGACAGAGTCTTGCTTTCTTGCCTAGGCTAGAGTGAGTGCCGTGGCGTCAGCCTAGCTCACAGCAACCTCAAACTCCTGGGCTCAAGCAATCCTACTGCCTCAGCCTCCCGAGTTGCTGGGACTACAGGCACGAGCCACCATGCCCGGCTAATTTCATATATATATATATTAGTTGGCCAATTAATTTCTTTCTATTTTTATAGTAGAGACGGGGTCTCGCTCAGGCTGGTTTTGAACTCCTGACCTTGAGCAATCCGCCCGCCTCGGCCTCCCAGAGTGCTAGGATTACAAGCGTGAGCCACCGCGCCCGGCCTGTTCCATAGCACTTTTAAGTCAGGAGTCACTTTTTACTATGTATCAGAGCTATGGGCTACTGTTGGTCTCCATCAATGTGTGTGTTTCTTGTAGCCAGATTATTTTACCACAGCCCTGGACACAGACTAGGCACTCCACAGAAGAATAAGTAAAATATGTAAGGGAGGAACGGAGAAGAGTCCCTAAGACTTGGCTAGAAGGAGAGGAGAGCACTGATTCGCATGTTCTCACGTCATTTCAGAGTGTGCAGCTTGTAGAACTCCGCTCTGCTCTTGGTAGTGCAAGAAAATGGCCAATATGTTCGCACTTTCAACTGATGTTTCCTAGTAACTAGTCCCAGTGCTTTGCCACTGTTCTAGGGGAAATACCTACCATGATGACTGCACCTGAGACTTTACAGGTTAGAGTGTAAGACAAGTAAAGGAATCACAGTGATGCCCAGTAAAAAGTCCAATGATAGAAGTGTATACAAGGAACTATTAATAGCATAGGAGACAGTAGTCAACAGGATGATCTGGGCAAGGGAAAGAAACTTAGAAGAGGCCTGGGGGAGGTGATTTCAGACCTGGCTTCTCAAAATGTTTAGTCAACAGCTGGATTAAATGTTACGTATAATGCAGAGGTCTGGGTCCATTAAAGGAATGCAAAAGAATTTTAAGAATGTTGCCTACCCTTAGGACCTTACAATCTGTAATTGGAGAGGTAAACACAGTATAATATAAAACAATGGTCTATTTGAACTCAGTACTTATGATCTAATATTTTCATCTAAAATATGTTAATTACTAAGAGTATAACTGGTCAATACATCTCTAATCTAATAGAAATAAAAAATGCAATAATTTTAAATGAACAAAAAACTTCTGTCTTTTAAGAAATAACAAAAATAATCAGAAAAAACTGCAAATAAAGAGTAAGATGGTAAAAAGAAATTCAAATATGTCCATAGTCACTCACTGTAAACATAACTGTGTGGAGTTGCTATTTAAAAGACAAAGGTTGCGAGGAGGAATCTGTGACCCAGGACCATATACATGAAGATAGAAAGCACATGGAGTCATGAATCAGCCAAGGGAAGAAGGCCAAAAACTTAGTTGCCCATTGAGGTGAGAAGCAAGCCAATTTGCTCTGCAAAACCCAAGAAGGGCTCAATAACTACAGATAACAGGAGTATGGCGGGTCCTTCCCTGGAAGAAATAATCCCGGAGAAAAGACAAAGTGCTGACCTTTGGGGTTCTCCCAACCTCAAAAGCAACCAGTCTGCTGCTCTGTTGTCAACAAGCCTCACCTGCCCACACACAACTTCCCATTACCTTCTTCACTCTTCTTTATGGATGGAAAGAAACATCGCCAGGTGTTTGGAGAATGCTTCTAACAGGCAAGTAAGAAATCAAACCAAAGAAACAAAATTATGAACTCAAAGGATCTAGAGACTGCAGGAAATGAAGAAAAGGTAAACAAAATTATAACTAGTAACCTCAAAGAGATTGAAAAGGAACTGTATTATTAAGAAATAAAGAAAAGTTTGTGTTTTTTTTAAGAGATTGGGTCTTGCTGTGTCACTCAGGCTGGAGTACAGTGGCATAGTCATAGCTCACTGTAACCTGGCCTCAAACAATCCTGCCTCAGCATCTTGAGTAGCTAGGACTACAGGTATGTACCACCACACTCAGCTAATTTTTAAAAATTTTTGTGTAGAGATAGGATCTTGCTATATCGCCCAGGCTGATCTCAAACTCCTGGCCTCAAGCAATCTTCATGCCTCAGCCTCCCACAGTGCTCAGATTATAAGCATGAGGCACTGCACCTGAGCCAGAATATTGTTTTTAAAAGAACAATTGAAAAATAAAAAAGATATCTTAGAAATGAAACTGTGATAGCCAAAATTGAATTAGTAAGAAGGTTGAAAAGTAAAGTTGAGAATATCTTTTTTCTTTTTTTCTTTTTGAGACAGAGTCTCACTTTGTTGCCCAGGCTAGAGTGAGTGCCGTGGTGTCAGCCTAGCTCACAGCAACCTCCTGGGCTCAAGCAATCTTATTGCCTCAGCCTCCTGAGTAGCTGGGACTACAGGCATGCACCATTTCTATATATGTGTTAGTTGGCCAATTAATTTCTTTCTATTTATAATAGAGACTGGGTCTCGCTCTTGCTCAGGTTGGTTTCGAACTCCTGACCTTGAGTAATCCACCCGCCTCGCCCTCCCAGAGAGCTAGGATTACCGGCGTGAGCCACTGCGCCCCGCCAAGAATATCTTTTTAAAAGAATGAAAAGACAGGAAGGTGGATGATGAGATACAAAGATTAAGACTAACAGGAGGAGTTCCAGTGGGAAAAAGAAAACAGAAAATGGTGGGAATGAAATTATTAGATAATTTTAATTTTCCCCCAAAGTTGAGAGACGTGAATCTCCAGAGTAAAAGCAGCCACCAAAATTCTGCACAAAGAATGAAGATAGACATCAAGGCATGATGTCGTGAAATATCAGACAATCAGTGATTAGAGAAGATCTTAGAACAGGTCACACACAGAGGATAAGGAACACAAATCGTTGAGGGAGGTTCTTAAGAGCAGTACTGGAAGCTAGAAGACAATGGAAGAATACTTTGAAAATGACAAGTGAAAATAATTTGCAACCTAGAATTTTATACTTACCCAAATGGTCAGTCAAGTGTAATGGTACTATGACAGTATTTTTAGATAATACAAACTCACCAAAGTTTTTATCATTACTTTTCATGAAATATTTTTTCAGGAGCCTACTAAAAGAGGAGCTCCAAAACAAGGGAGTAAACTGAGAAAGAGGAAGAAGTGGGATCCAGTAAATGGAATTTAATATAAAAAAAGTGGTGAGGGGGATCTCCACCATGACAGCAAAGGAAACTCCTGGGATGGACAAATAGACTCCATTCGATGGGAGAAACTACAAGATTTGTGGCTGTTTTTCAGAATGGCTTCTTACCCAGGCTGGACTCAAACTCCTGGGCTCAAGTGATCCTTCCACCTCAGCCTCCCAATAACTGGGATTAAAAGTGCTCACCTCCAAGCCCAGTTTGTGGCTGTGACCATTTTTAATTCACCACAGACCACTCTGTAGCCATGTTATTTACTTTCCTTCCTCTTGCAAAATATGCCCCACCTTCTTAACCACTTTGGTGCTACGCCCACCGGCCTCGAAACCTTGCCCACAGCTGGCACTCATAGTCCACATGATAGTTTGTGCTGTGCATTGCCGACGATTCCATTTTGCTCTTGTGTGATGAGGAAAGCTTTAAAGCACTGAAAGCTTGTTTTACTTTATAGGCAGCTTTACTTGTAATGTAAATCAGAATCGGTAACATATACATACATGTTTTCATTACATTATTTTTAAATGTTCACAATTTTATTTTGAAAAATGAAAAATTAGAAAAGTCATATCACAGCTGTTAGCTAAAGTCGATGCTCAGCTGTGCATGTTCATCTGTGGCTGTCAGCTATAGTCGACGCTTGTACTGAAGTGGTTAAGGCATTTAAAAGTCCCTTCCAGGCAGGGTGCAGTGGCTCACGCCTGTAATCCTAGCACTCTGTGAGGCCAAGGCGGACGGATTGCTCGAGGTCAGGAGTTCAAAACCAGCTTGAGCAAGAGCGAGACCCCAACTCTACTATAAATAGAAAGAAATTAATTGGCCACCTAATACATATAGAAAAAATATTAGCTGGGCATGGTGGTGCATGCCTGTAGTCCCAGCTACTCGGGAGGCTGAGGCAGCAGGATTGCTTGAGCTAGGAGTTTGAGGTTGCCCAGGAGTTTGAGGTGAGCTAGGCTGACACCACGGCACTCACTTAGCCTGGGCAACAAAGTGAGACTCTGTCTCAAAAATAAAATAAGTCCCTTCCAATTGCTGTCTCAGGCTCAAAAGCCATTGTTTCATGGTTTTCATCTGCTCTGGATGTAGATGAGATGCCTCTTGAGCTAGAGACCTATAAACCAAAAAAGAAAATTATCTGCCCTTCCCCCAACATAGAATTTTGAGACCAGGGCCAAGGCCAGGCTAAGCACAATGGACTCTCCCATTTGAAAAGAGAGATGGAGACATGTAGCAGACACTAGTCTATAGCAATTTTGTAAGTCAGTCAATAACATGTTGCCAAGTCCTCTTACTTAGGGGGCAGAATTTTTGCCTTTCTTTAGGGCCCCATTTTCCCTGGGAGTGACAGTCTTAGCCATTTTTCTTGCCTCAGATTTTGGCTCTGCCCCTGATCTCTTTTCTCTGTATGAGACATCAAATGGTTCATATTTATAATTGAGTAGCTTTCTCAGCCTGTTTACTGCCTGGAGAAATATGGGAACCCAAAGGCCTCTTTTCATTTTGAACTGGCTCACTCCCTTTTCATTCAAACTGATATAACTCCCTTAAAAATCTTGGGGATTTCCTATGTAGAAGAATATAGTCTACTCCATTAGACCAAAAAAAATGCTTCAAATTTTTTTTCAAGTCATTTTTTCTATTTTGTAAGGTGTGTTAGGATGCTGTGGGACAACATACCTTAGATTTCTTAGAAACTCTTTTGTCTAGCTTAGGGGGGGTTGTACTAGATACTATCTTAAACCTTTCTGGGGCTTTAACAAAAGTTATGGCCACAAACTTGATTCTGTCTTCACCCTGAGGCCATTTATTACTTGAAGAGTCTTATGTTGACTGGAGAAACAGATGTTAAACAGATGTTAAAACCAGTTTGGTTTTACTTACCAAACTAGTACAACTCCTATATATTTCCTCTAACTTCTGCTTGCAAACTGGACAATTCATCCTTTAGGTCATTTCACACTTGCAGACTTTATGCAGTTAGAAGCATTCAACTGACAGTTTCAACACTGTATGTCTGGAGCTCTCCTGGATCTAATGGAAATTAGATCCATTTTCTAATTTCCAAGTTACTGAAGGCACTGTTTTTTTCACCCATTTCTTTTCACTACTACCTATCATAGCCCCCACCGGTCAGGCTGCTCAGCTAACAGAGCTTCCTCACCATTTTTCCAGCCTCCATCACTGGACTCAAAGTCAGAGCAGTACGTCTTAGGTTTTAGCACCTGTTGGAGCAACACCTGTCTTAGAGCAGGCTGCTATAACAAAATTCCATAGACTGAGTGGCTTAAACAGCAGACATTTATTAATATTTCTCTCATTTCTGGAGGCTGAGAAGTCCAAGATCAAGATGCCACCAGGTGTCAGGGACTGTTTTTTTATATGATGACAAGAAAATACTTGTGCAAAACAGTTCATTGTACAAAATTTCCCAATATTGCTTTAATAGTGAAAAAACTATGAAAGTTTCAATGGAGACAGAGCCATTAGAATTCAAAGTCCTCGCCTGCCATGTTGAGTGCCCAGGTGAACTTCTCCCTCTGTGTTTTGTTGTAGATCTTCTCCACAGGCACCCTGAACCTCTTACACCTGCGGAGAGGACAGTGTCGACCTGGGCAAGTCAGCAGCTCACTCACCTCGAAGACCAAGGTGCCCAGAAGAGAGCAGTGTCCTCAGTGTAGCCGGGAGACCAGAAACTACATATGTGAGGGAGGTGTCAAAGACTATACCTACTGCAGCCCAGGTGTCCACTGAATGGGGCACTCGGAACGCAGACCTGGCCACTTCCCACTCCCGGTGGGAGAGTGAACACCATGGTTGCTCTGTTTCCCAGGCTGCCAGCCCTGCCCCAGCCTCACCCTACCCATCCCAAAGCTCAGGGAAGGGAGGACTAATGGCACAGGACTCAGCCTCAGGGACATACCAGTCAGCCCTGTCAGGGAAAGGACCTGTGTTGCCCGTGGAGGGCATAAGAGACACAGGGCACCAATGAGACTCAACTGGGGCCTCCTGAAAAATCCAGGTCCCTCTCAAGGCTATAGGTGGGAACCACAACCCTAGGCCTACACACCAGGCGATGCTGATCCGGGGATCCAGGTAGTTGAGCTTGGACGTGCCCAAGGCCACCTGTTTGTTCTCCTCCTTGTCTGTGGCCTGTGCACTCAGCCTTGCCAGCTGGTCCTGCAGCTTCTCCAGAACCCGCCTCTTCTTCTCCAGGAGACTGGCAAAAGAAGGCAAGGCCTCTGGTCCCCGCACCATGGCAGGAGGGCACAGGCCAAGCCCCTGAGGAGACCGCACCTCTCCCCTACCCCTGGCGCCATCCCTCCTGGATGTTGACAGTGGCATGACTCAATGTAGCCAAAAAGTGGAAACCACCCAGTGTCCATGAAGGGATGAATGGACACAGTGTGGTCCATCCATACAATGAAGTGTATTTGGCCATAAAAAGGAAGTTAGTTCTGACAGATGCTAGATGTGAGTGAACCTGGACATCATACTAGCTGAGAGAAGCCAGACACAAAAGGCCACATAGTGTATGACTCTATTTCTATGAAATGCCCAGAGCAGACAAATCTAAAGACACTGAAAGTGGATCAGTGGTTGCCAGGGACTGGGTGAGCACAGTGGGGAGTGACTGCTGATGGATTCAGGGTTTCCTTTTGGGGTGATGTGAACGATCTAAAATTGTAGTGATGGTTGCACACCTCTAAATATGATTTAAAAACACTGAATTATACACTTTAAGTTCTGAAAATTGTTACCTAAAGCTACTAAAAACAAAAAACAAGAGTCAGAGCAGCTGGCAAGGCCTGCACCACATTGACCCACCATTGATAGGCCACATCGGAGTGGGGCTTCTCCTTACCTGGCTCCATACTACCTCACATTTTCCCACAAGTACTATAGTTAGTATTTTTAAAAATTACAATATAACAATTAAAAAGGTAAATAAAATGGGCCAAAAGAAAGCTGAAGTCCAAGGCTGACCGAGTCCAGGCTCACACAGGCTGGCCCCCAGGAGACACTCACGTCTAGGAGCAGCCCCCATGCTCACCTCCTGGACTTGCCATCCCCTCGGGTCTCATGGTCAGCCTTTGCCCTCTTTAGCTCCACCCTGGCCTCAGCCAGCTGCTCCTTCTTCACCTTGATCTGCAAAGGAAGGGGCCCAGGCAAGGCTGCTCTTGTCCCCACCGGGTCCAGCCCTGGGGCTACTGTCCACAGCCTGCTGGCCTTGACAGGGTACAGCCAAGAGGCCTCTGAGCCCCAAAGGTACCACCAGCTCCAGCCACAGAAACTGATCCAGCACCCCTGAGGGCTCCCTGCTCTGTTGACATCCTTCCTGGACTAGAACACACAGACTGTGTCTCACCAGGAAGACTGATGTCTTCCTTTAGGGGAAGCCACCTCCTGCCTGGGACCTGGGCCCAGGCAGCCTGACTTACCTGCCACCAGCCTCCAGGGAGCTCCTCTGCCCCACAGGAACCCTTCACACCCACCTATGGGTGGCTCGTCTGGCCTCATGGGGGTACCAGGGAAGGGGGAAGTAAGAGGGGGAGGAGGGAGAAGAGGGTCCATGAGGGACCAGTGAGGGGCTCTCCTGTGAGCTGCGTACCTTTGTTTGGAGATTTTGCATAGACTTCTCGAAGGTCTTGGGAGTTGCTCGCTGATGGTTGCAGAGAATGGCCACGGCTCGGTTGGCACGGTTGTAAGATAAGATCTTGGCTGCTATGCTGTCTTCAGCTGAGCAAAGACAGTCGGTTAGAAGCAGCAGCCACACTGACAGCCATCACTTACACACACTCACTCTGAGCCTGCCTTTCTCAACACGTCACAAGTTGGAGTGCCTTCCATTGGCACAAGAATCTTGCTGGGAGGGTGACTGAGGTCTATGCCCCATCCAAAGTGGCCCACAGGCCAGGGGTCAGCTGGGTTCAACCACAATAGCAATGCCTTGGGGCGGGGGAAGGTGCCCAGGAGCCCAAAGGTGCCCCTCCGGCCTGCTCAGGGGAACTGCCTCAGGAGCTGTCTATATGCCACGGTCTGGGGGGTCCTACCCTGTCATGAGTCCCTGGTGACAACACAGAGGCCCATGACCAGGACACGATGTGCTGGTACCTGGTTTTACATGACACCGTCCCATAAGGCACCATCATTTCCATTTTCTAATCAGGAAACTGAGGCTCAGAGAACTTAAGCACCCACCCCAGATCACCTGTCCCAGTGGCCACTCCTTTTCACACTCCTTCCTGCACCTGCCAATCCCAGTACAGGGCAGTGGTGCCCCACCCAGGTTTATGAACTCCTTCACTTTCTTTCCCAGGCCTGGCCTCGCCCCACTTCCCCGGGGTCTCCTGCCTCCTGCAGGTGGATTCCTCTGCTGGGGACTCCCCTACCTGGAACCAGCAAGCTCCTCCTCATCCCCAAAGCGTCTGTGCTTTATCCCAAGGCAGCACAGGCCCACTGGCCTATGACGCCCATAGCATACACAAAACTGATGTCTGGATGTCTGTACATCCACAGCTGCTGGGGGGCAGTGGGGAACACCCCACCCTGACCAGAGCTCCTGGACCACCAGGCCTCAGCACCTCCTCGAGGAAGCTCCTCTTAGAGAGCAGGACAGGCGGACAGAGAGACTGGGCCCTGGGCTGGGCTCAGAAGCACCCTCTGTGCCAAGGTGTGAGGCACCAGGAGAGGGCCCCAAAGCTGAAGAGACCTGAGGACAGAGGCACAGAGGTCTGAGGTGGGGGAGCTGAGTGACCAAGCAGTAGGAGACAGAAGCTGTTACAAAATGCAGAGGCCAGCTGGACCTTGAACTGACTCTGAGGGCTGGGAGAGGTAGGGCTGGGGGAGGCAGGGCCTGGGGCCTGACTGCAGGGCTGGGGGGATGCAGAGAGCTGAGCAGGAGGGGCCACCCTGCAGGGAGCACACCTGAGGACCAGCCACCCCCACACCCACCCCAGCCCCTTCCTTCCAGGCCAGGCCAGCAGCACTCCCTGATCCAAGCCAACACCTCCCTCCCCCACCCACCCACGGGTTCCCTAGAACCGGGTCCTGCACCCTCAATCAACAGGCGGCTCCTGCCCAGGAGCCCAGCTGGGGCGCAGGGACGTGCTCCCCACCACCAAGCTCACCACATGTCAGCACCTGCAGCTGCTCCTGCAGGGTGACAGAGGCATTGTAGGTCCGGAACACCTTGGCTGTCAGCCCGTCCATCAGGTCCTGAAGATGCTTGTTCAGGCTGGCCGTCTGAGCGCAGTAGGAGGAAATGGATCTCTCTAAATGTGGTTTCACGGCACCATTCCCAGCCTCCGGCAGGAAGGAAAGAAAGGGGAAGGAAAGAGCGGGTGGATCAGGACACAGGCAGCCCTGGGCTTGCTGTGATCGGGACTGAGCTAGACTCAGGGCTCACGCTCTCTCCCTGGGTCCTGCCACCGCCAAGCGCTGGGGAAATGCGAACAGCTCACAGTCAGTCTGTCGAAGAGGTCGTCCCCAAGGTCTTTGTTTTCCATAAACAGCTGTAAGTTCTTGTACACCTGGAACAGAAAGAATAATTTCAGCCCTGGAGAGTCCTGTGGAAAAGACTTGTAAGATAAAAGCAAAAAGAGGAAAGAAGCCTCTTTTGAAGACACAGGAAACAGGAATTAAATTAGGAGCTAAAGGGGCATTTGCACAATCACAGCTTGGAAACCTGCAGTCGGTTTTCCTTGAGGAAGGTGGTCCGAGCAGCCCCAGGTTCACCCTGGGTCCGAGCAGCCCCAGGTTCACTGGGAGCCACCAGTGGCATATTCACCCCACGTGCCCGGCCACCCATGCAGTCACTCACCACTAAAGCACCTACCACCAGCATGTTTGAGAGGCTGGAGTGTGGCTCCTGCCACTCTGCAAACACACCAACACAAGCCCTCCACCAAGTGACCCCAAGTTGAGGGCCCCATGCTTAAGGCGGCCCCCACCACAAATTCACCACGAGAAGCCCCACGCCTTCACCTTGATTCCCCACCCACCGATGAGCCCAATTCTACAAACCAGCAAGGTGCTGGTGCCTCCCAGGAGGAAGCTTTGGAACCAGAGGCACCACCCCGTAACTCCCAACCCTGGGTTTGTTTTCTCAACTTTTTTACATGTTTAGTTTTTACACCATTGACATCTTGACAAGACAGTTTCACAGCCTGCGTTTTCCCTTATATCATATGCTTTTGCTGTTACTAATATTTCTCCATTCCACCACTGAAATGGTTCCTGATCCTCCGGACAGACCGGTGCCCTGTGCAGGCCTCTATCCGCTGCCCACCCTGCACCAGGCGACACTACAGCGCATAGCCCCTGGCCTCTTCTTTTGTTTATTGGCCTCAGCCTTGTATCTCCATGAATTCATCCCTTATGACAGCCCACACCCCCTCTCAGAGCCCCACCTGCGCCAGCAGTTCTATTCCCTTGCTGTCCTTGATACCTGTCCCCAAATTTCCCATTTCTGATTTTGGATGGCCCTACTCCACAGCTTGGCCACATTTGTCCCTGTGAGGTACAGGTGGCTGGTGTTGTGTGGTCTGCTCGGTGTTGCTGCAATGCTGCAGCCACCCAGACAGGGGATATGGTCACTCCGCAGCACGGCCATCACAAAAGGCATGGATGCTCCCCAAATTCCAATTTTCCTGCCTTCAAACTGACCTGCAGACCAGAAACCAACCTGACCCTTCCAGACTGCACCCGTCTGTCCACCAGTGCTGCTGGACACAGCATTCCGGTCACGGTGGTCACCGCAGGCTCGACCCCTGCACCACCCTACCCAGAAGAGGAGTCAGGGACACGGTGGGAGCCCCCAAAGGGCTAGGAGACCCTTCCCAGGTATGCTGGGTTGAACAGTTTCCCCAAATTCAGGTTCTTCCCAGAACCTAGACTGTGACCTCACTTGGAAACAGGGGCTTTGCAGATATAATCACCGCAGAGTAGGGTGGGCCCTAAATCCAACACAACTTCGGTCCTTATCAGAAAAGGAGAAGAGGCTGGGCATGGTAGCTCACGCCTGTAATCCTAGCACCCTGGGAGGCCGAGGCGGGCGGATTGCTTGAGGTCAGGAGTTCGAAACCAGCCTGAGCAAGAACGAGACCCTGTCTCTACTATAAATAGAAAGAAATTAATAGGCCACCTAACATATATATAGAAAAAATTAGCCAGGCATGGTGGCGCATGCCTGTAGTCCCAGCTCCTCGGGAGGCTGAGGCAGTAGGATCACTTGAGCCCAGGAGTTTGAGGTTGCTGTGAGCTAGGCTGACACCATGGCACTCACTCTAGCCTGGGCAACAAAGTGAGACTCTCTCTCAAAAAAAAAAAAAAAGAAAGAAAGAAAAGGAGAAGAGACAGAGACAGGGAGGAGATGGCCATGTGACAATGGGAGGAGAAGCTGGAGCGACATAGCCACAGCCAAGGATGCCTGGGATCCATGGCTACCACCAAAAGCTGCTGGCGGCCAGGAAGGATCCTATTCATAGTCTCAGAAGGACTAGGCTCTGCTGACATCTTCATCTCAGACTTCTGGCCTCCAGAACTGAGGGACAATAAACATCTGCTGTTTTAAACCACCCAGCTATCTCACCTCACGAGGGCAGCCCTGGAGGACTCACATGCCAGGTAGGTGACAGAAGCTTACAAAGGTGGGTCTGGTTCAGCCCCTTCCTTGTTTGTGGGCAGGGGCAGGCCTCTCCATCACCCTACTTAACCCCAGGGAGCACAGCAGGCCTGGCCTCCAGCAGCCAGGACTTGGTAAACAGGCCACAGACCCCAGCTGTAGCTCTGCCATGCCCGAGAGAATACCCAGAGCTGCCATGTATGTCAAGCAAGGATGGGCAGGTGAACCCCAGGCATGAGGCCTGCAGCCACTGTGCACTCACAGGCTTCTCCACGGGCACTCTGTTACAGTAGCGGATCGAGTCCTTTCCCAGGAAGTCGAACTCCACAACATGCTCCTGGCCATCGGCCGCTGGGTGCAGCCGGATGTGTTCCACGCGGAGGGAGCAGCAGCCCACGGTGTCAGCCGCCTCCCCTTCCTCCTTCTCATTCCCTGCTCTCAGCGCCAGCTAGTCAGGGTGGAAACCAGGGCATGTGTGCACACTCGTGCACAGCCGTGCGCAAACACGCACGTACACACATGCACACCCCAGACACAACCCGCCATCACCAAGCCGCGCCTGCCAAACCCAGAGAACCCTGATGAACAGCAGCCAAGAAAGACTGGGCAAACCACCGAACCTTATCGATGAGGTAAAGGGCCACCGCACGTTGTCTTCGCTTCATTTCTCGTGATTTCCAATCTGCCCGATACTGAGAACGGATCTCATCTACAACCCCTTTCAAGCGTCGAGCTATTTCATACTTTTGCCAATCTTTCTCCCCCTAAATAAAGAAAATAAATAGTAAAGAAACTCTTCGTAATCCCGCTAAATAATTTTGGAGAAGCTATGACTCTCCCTCCCCCACTTCACACATCTACACTTGGAGCTGGTAGGGCTGGAGACTGGGGGCGCCACGTCCAACTACAGCGAAATGTGAAAGGAATGCAAACATCCAGATGTTCCTGGTTTTCTTTCAAGACATGTGGCTGCTGGGCACAGTGACATCTCCATGCTAGCTGGCTGGCTCCTGGCCACTCTGCCCCTAACACCTGCTCTCAGTTCCTGAGTGCAGCCCATGGGCCAACCCCTGCCCGCCTGAGTCCTGGGGGCTTCCTGGAAGGGAATACCTCAACGCCTCACGCGCACCTTCAGCTTTGAGCTTGGGTTCAGCGTGATGTACTTGACAGAGCTCTGGATGTTTTCTTTCCACGAAGCCAGCCACATAACAGTGTTGTCTGAGCGTACCTCCTTCCACTGGTGACCCACTGGTGGCTCAGGAATCTTTGAGTCCCTGTGGCAAAACAGAGACCCAAACATAACTTCAAGACCTTGTTCTCCGAAACATGAGCAAAAGGAGTCTCTCTGGGGCACCCTCCCACTCAGTGCCCACAGCACTGGCGGGGCTCCAAACAGAGACTGGCCTTGGACCACAGCAGCCCCCAGCCCACCCTCTGCACACACACGCAGACCAGGGTCAGACCAAGAAGCTGGGTGGCCACCCCAGCAAGGTGTCACGCCGCAGCTCCGACTGACAGATGACGGCTGCTGTGGCCCCAACCAGCTCTGCTGCCTGGGTCACTCAGGCGGAGGTGTTCCTCGACACTCTGGTAACACAGACTGTCAGTAACATGGCACTACCAAAACACCTGAACTCTTCCAGTATGTTCAAAATACTGAAGTGCCATTAAACTATCTGGATAATATGGAATATGAAAAAATATATGTTGAAAACATGCAGGAAAACTTTCTTGGTGGGGAAAAATCTCAACCACAGGAAAAGTGAGTAGGATTTCTGGTCACAGGCCCCCCCGTGTGGAACGTCCCTGCCCAGCCTGTGCTGGGCCCTGCTCCTGGCTCAGGCAGGAGTGGCGCATGGAGTTGCCAGCCCCATGTTTTTCAATCCAGCTCACTCTCCCAGGAACAAAGCCTCGCCCAGGTGGCCAGGGCCCCGTGCTGTGGCAGCACACCCTGCGTGGCCGCACCTGCTGCAGTTGATGACCACATCCTCCGGCAGGATTCTCCTCTTCACCATCCCCATCTTGGGGTGGTCACCACGGCCCTGGAACAACCCGGGTGGCTCTGTCTTGAAATTGCCTATTTTTTCTCGGTGACCATCTAGAATACAGTAGCCAAACTCTTGCCGAAGTTTTTCTGCTGCTTCTTTTAGCTTCTGAGTTAACAGAACGGTACGTGGATGTTAGCAGCAAAGAGAACAGCACAAAGGTCAACCCCCTGTAGCTAACTCAGGACTCGCCCCTGCCTTTGCCAACTTGGCTGGGCTCCTCAGAGCGCTTTGTGTCCACAGAGCGCTGAGGGGACCCAGCGCAGCATGCACCGTGGGAGCACAGAGGCGTCAGCTATTTCAGATGTGAGCAGTAGAGCCAGGCAGGGCGAGCGTGGCAGCCCCACGAGTAGGAGGAAAGCTAAGCCAGGTTTTAGAGTAAACCTGAATCCCTCTGTGACCAGTGACTGAGAAGGGACTACCCTTCCCTAGGAGTCCCTGTAGGTCAACACAAGAGATGGCAGCACAGCAGGCCCGTCAGGCTCAGAGCAGCCTGACACCGGCTCCCCTGCACTGCACAAGTCCTGCCCTCGGCCCACAGGCCCATCCTGAGTCCACCATCATCACTGCCGGTGAATTACTGCCTGTTATCCAAACAGCACATTTATCCTCAATTTGCTCTGGGTAAACTGAACTACATTTTAACCACATTAACTCAACAGTACCCAAGAACTGGTTGGCACTGCATGCCTTGGGCTGTAACCACACCTTCTAGGGGATGCTAATGTAAAAAACTGGACAAGAGGCGGTCTCGTGAGAAGAGGCTTCTCTAAGGCGATGGGGCCTTTCTCAGCCCTTGGGCTAGGCTGGTCGCTCACCCCCAGGGGCGACTCGCAAGCCAGCCACTCAGGGTCACCAGTGCTCAGGGCAGCTGACCTGCTTCTCCTCTCTGGGCAGGGCTTTCCGGGCTGCAGCTTTGTCCACAAAGTATCTGTGCATCTCTGTGAAGTCACACTTGTCTAGGTGCTTGATGACTTTTCTCTCTTCTGCTGTCATTTCCTGCACCAAACCAGAGACACACATGCTTGCAAGTGGGCAGAGCATTAGCACGATCACACAGCATGGGAACCCCCAGCTGGGGACGCAACCACAGAGATAACATGACATCTGCAGTAGGGGGACAGACTCCAGGCAGAGTGCTAAGGCCCCCACTGAGTATCAGCCAAGAGGGACCCAAGTGGGCAGGTGCAGAAGTGAGCTCTGTTGCCCGGGCTAAAGTGCCGTAACGTCAGCCTAGCTCACAGCAACCTAAACTCCTGGGCTTAAGCAATCCTTCTGCCTCAACCTCCCGAGTAGCTATGACTACAGGCATGTACTACCATGCCCAGCTAATTTTTTTTTCTATATTTTTAGTTGTCCAACTAATTTCTCTCTATTTTTAGTAGAGCAGGGGGTGTCACTCTTGTTCAGGCTGGTCTTGAACTCCTGACCTCCAGCAATCCTCCTGCCTCGGCCTCCCAGAGAGCTAGGATTACAGGTGTGAGCCATCATGCCCGGCCCAACAACATTGTTAGAGAATAAAAATATAAACCATAGACTAGATGGAAATTTTTTACAGATCACATTTCTGATAATGGACTCACACAGGATGAAAAAGTACTCATCATAAAAGAGAAAAACACTGGGTATTCTAAAAAATTAGCCAGGCGTGGTGGTACAGATCTGTAGTCCCAGCTACTCGGGAGGCTGAGGCAGGAGGGTCACATGAGCCCAGGAGGTCAAGGTTACAGTGAGCTGTGAATGCACCACTGCACTCCAGCCTGCAGTCTGGGTGACCAAGTAAGACCTCGTCTCTTTAAAGAAAAAAAAAGAAATAAAGAATAAGAGTGATAAACTGACAAACTGAATAATTGATAAATTAAAATTTTCTCAGTGAGGTTCAAAGACCTCTTACTGACAAAGCAATGGCAAGTAAAGTCTGACAGAATATTCCTAGCATACATATCAAGCAAAAAACTTATATCCAGAACATATTTTAAAAACTCCTACAAATTAGTAAAGAACATGCAAGTAACTCAGTTTTTCAAATGGACAAAGTTCACAAAAGAAAATATCAAATATTCAAAATGACAAATAGGAACACAAAAAGATGCTCAACATCATTTCTCATTAGGGAAATGCAAACTATATCCACAATGAGATACCACTTCACACTTCCCAGGAGGGAAGCCCGGAACCCTGGTACGCGTGGGGGCACGTGGACGGTACCACCTGCGGTTTCTAGCGAGCCACACCCATGCGCAGCCTGTAACCCCGCAATCTCACCTCTGAGTCCTGTGAGGGGTAACTCACGTGCCCACACCCTGACCCACGTGGGAACGTGCCCTGCAGCTTTATAACAGAAGCCAAAAAGTAGAAACAATATAGTGTCCATGAATAGTAAAATGGACAAACTGTGTAGTCACACAACAGAAGAAATACTACCCAACAACAGCCAGGAAGAAGCTGCTGGAACAGCAACCTGAGGCCAAAGCTCACAGGAATCACGCCAAGAGCGACCCTGGGAAGGCTCGTGGGGACTAACAGGGGTGCCCTCACTTAAAACTCAACTGAGCGGCCGGGCGCGGTGGCTCACGCCTGTAATCCTAGCTCTCTGGGAGGCCGAGGCGGGCGGATTGCTCAAGGTCAGGAGTTCAAAACCAGCCTGAGCAAGAGCGAGACCCCGTCTCTACTATAAATAGAAAGAAATTAATTGGCCAACTAATATATACAGAAAAAATTAGCTGGGCATGGTGGCGCATGCCTGTAGTCCCAGCTCCTCGGGAGGCTGAGGCAGTAGTATCGCTTGAGCCCAGGAGTTTGAGGTTGCTGTGAGCTAGGCTGACGCCACAACACTCACTCTAGCCTGAGCAACAAAGTGAGACTCTGTCTCAAAAAAAAAAAAAAAACTCAACTGAGCTATACTCGAAGATTAGTCCAGACTCACGTGTAATTCAACTTTTAAAAAACAAAAAGGAGGCCAGGCACGGTAGCTCACACCTGTAATCCTAGCACTCTGGTAGGATGAGGCAGGAGGATCACTCAAGTTCAGGAGTTTGAAAACAGCCTGAGCAAGAGTAAGACCCCATCTCTACTAAAAATAGAAAGAAATTAATTGGCCAACTAAAAATATATAGAAAAAATTAGCTGGACATGGTGGTGCATGCCTGTAGTCTCAGCTACTCGGGACTGCTTGAGCCCTGGAGTTTTTGAGGCTGCTGTGAGCTAGGCTGATGCCATGGCACTCTAGCCCAGGCAACAGAGTGAGACTCTGTCACAAAAAAAAAAAAAAAAAAAGGAAAAAGGAAAAAAACCTTAATGTAGCACTGTTATCTTCAAAAAGCTTCCCACCCAGTGTCTGTCTTCCAGGAAATGCCACTGTGGCCTTTTCCACTCGCCCTCTTCTAAGAGCCAGAGGCCTTTCAGCCGTCCCTGGAGCAAGGTTACGGCAAAGCTGGCTCCACACTCTGCCTGCCTGGGCAGGGAAATGTCTAAAGAACACCAGGCCAGGTGCCACGGTGGCATCTGCAGCCGTAGCTACTTGGAGGCTGAGGCAGAAGGATCCCCTGAGGTCAGGACTTTGATCAAGGCTGTAGTGTGCCATGGTTGCACCTGTGCATAGTCACTGTGTTCCAGCCTGGACAACACAGCAAGACCCATCTGCAAAAAAATATAAAACACAACAGAGGCCGGGCGAGGTGGCTCACGCCTGTAATCCTAGCTCTCTGGGAGGCCGAGGCGGGCGGATTGCTCGAGGTCGGGAGTTCGAAACCAGCCTGAGCAAGAGCGAGACCCCCTCTCTACTATAAATAGAAAGAAACTAATTGGCCAACTAATACATATAGAAAAAATTAGCCAGGCATGGTGGATCATGCCTGTAGTCCCAGCTACTTGGGAGGCTGAGACAGAAGGATCGCTTGAGCCCAGGAGTTTGAGGTTGCTGTGAGCTAGGCTGACGCCACGGCACTCACTCTAGCCTAGGCAACAAAGCAAGACTCTGTCTCAAAAAAAAATAAAAAAAAATAAAACACAACAGAGAGCACCAGGCTGTGCTGAGAACACACAGTGGCCACGGAGAGTGTGCAAAGGCTGCCCAGAAGCAGCAGCCAATGGAACCATGGCCTGCAGGGGCCTGGCCAGCCTGGTCTATGGCACTTACCTTTTGCCAGTCGCTGAAGAAGTTGTTTTGGAAAACTTCCTTTGTCGTATATTCACGATCCAACATTTTCGCATAAAAAGTGGCAACCTCCTCAGCTGCCACGCTCAATTTCACAGGCTTTCCTGCAGACACCAAAAGACACTCTGCTTTAGGAACCAGCTGACATGACCCGTTACTTTAAGTTACGCACCAGTACACACGATGCTAAGAGCAAGAGCTGGGTTTTTGCCTTTTAAGTTCAGAAGCATATTCTAAATTACAAATGATTAATGCACCCGCATACAGGTAAAGGCCAGGAGGATCTCAAGTAGATCCTGAGAACCCTGCAGAAGATTTCAACAGCTACAGTCATTCACACTTTCCCTCCTTCAATTTTGATACATTTATATTATGTCATTATATATGAAATGTCCAATTTTGAATCAAAAGTGTAGTTTATTATATCTCAAACGAGAAGCAGTACAATTAATCAAAGTATGCACCTAAACCATTGACACAGTTTTGCCATCTTAGGGATAGCTTGCTTATGCCAGCAGCAAAGAAGTCAGGTAAGAGAGTGACAATGAAATCGCAAAAGGCGTTTTCCACAGCTTGTTGAGAATTGAATGTTTTTCCTTGCAAGAAGTGGTCCAAAGCCTGGAAGAAGTGGTAGTCAGTCGGTGCAAAGTCTGCTGAATACAGTGATGACAGAGTAAGTCCAGCCTCTGCAGTTTGAGCGGCGTTGTTTGTGCAACACGTGGTCAAGTGTTGTCTTGCGAGAGGACTGGCCCGTTTCTATTACCAATCTCCACTGCTTAATCACAAGCATTCTCATCATTTCATCCAACTGGGTGAAGTAGACATCTGCTGTAATCAATCGACCAGGTTTCATGAAGCTATAGTGGATAACACCAGCGCTGGACTCCCAAACAGATACCATTAGCTTTTTTTGATGAATATTCAGTTTTGGACAGTGCTTTGGCACTTCATCTGTAACCAACCATTATGCTGAACACTTGCAATTGTCAAACAGAATCCGTTTTTCATCACACATAACAATACAGTGTAGAAATGGTTTAACTTTATGTCGTGACGGCAAAGAAAGGCAAGCTTCGAAATGATTTCTCTTTTGACACTCGTTAAATTCATGTGTCCCCCATCTACCCAGCTTCTTTATCTTGCTGATTTGCTTCAAATGGTCCAATATCATTGGAATAGTAACATCAAACTTTGCTGCTAATTAATTCATGCATAGGTTGAGATGGATTCACTTCCACTACAGCTTTCAGCTCATCATTATCCGCCTTGGTCTCAGGTCACCCATGTGGCTCATTCTCAAGATGAAAATCATCAGAAAGGAACTTCTCAAACCACTGATGTACTGTGCATTCATTAGCCACATCCTTCCCAAACACTTCCATGATATTTCCAGCTGTCCGTGCTGCATTGGTTCCATGATGGAACACATACTCAAAAAAAAAAAAAAAACCACAAATTTTTGACTTATCCATGGTTTCACCAAAACTGTTCTCAAAAAAAAAATTGAAAGATAATCACAAGCCAAACCATGCATTTGAAAGACTGAGGATGTACCTTCACAATAAAAATAAAACAGGTGTCAATGCAAAATGTCAGCAACATCAACTGTCAAACTTAGTACTTAAGGAAATTGGACATTTCATACTTAATAACCTATTATATAAAGTCCAACAACATGTGCAATTTTAAAATACACAAATTTCCACATAATTACAGAAGCAAAATAAAACTTAAGGCTTCAAAGAAGAAAACCATGTATGACTGTAGGTGTAACCTTTTAGAAATCTTCCTCTCTGTTCAATCATTCCCTATGTTTTATTCTTTCTTTCTGAGACAAGAGGCTCACTTTGTTACCCAGGCTAGAGTGCAGTGGTGTCATCACAGCTCACTCTAACCTCAAACTTCTGGGCCCAAGTGATCTTCCTGCCTCAGCCCCCCGAGTAGTTGGGACTACAGGTGCACGCCACCATGCCTGGCCAATTTTTTCTATTTTTGGGAGAGATGGGGATCTCGCTCTTGGTCAGGCTGGTTTTAAACACCTGAACTCAAGCAATCTTCTTGCCTCGGCTTCCCAGAGTGCCAGGATTACAGCACCAACCTCCCCTACATTTTATTCTAAATCAGCACAATGGAAAAGAGATAGGCCGGTGTGGAGCAGGCAGAATGCTCACAGTGGGACCAGACCACTCACCACAAAACTTTTCTAAATGTTTAAAAATCTTTCATAACAAAATGTTAGAAAAACAAATGTGTATTAGTTCGGTAATAAGGAAAAAGGCATTCATGATGAACGGTAGCAATCCTTCTCAAAATCAGCCTCTCCGGACAGAGGATGTGAGGCCTAGCACAGGGCCACAGACTCAGCTCCTCAGCTCCCCCCACAGAGCGCACAGGCCACCCTCTCTCACTTGTCCCTCTGGGCCAGCAGGGGCCTGGTGGGGCAAGCTGGGCACACGCTGTCAGACACTCTAGGGCAGCAGGGAGCACTCAGTGCAGTCCCCTGCAGCCACCACTCCTCCACCAGGAGCCCACAGCTGGGTGCTTGGGCTCTGAAAGCACAGCGAGCAAGAGTCTCTGTAGCTCAGAGAAACAGATTTTAAACAAAACTTACATCGAAGGAGTTCAGTAAGTGCAAATGTGAGTGTGACTCAGTGGGGACGGGGGGGGGGGGGGGGGGGGCGCCCCGCACATACGTAGTGAGTGGGATGTGCAGTCTCTGAGCCGGGGGGGGGCGGGGGGGTGAGTGCTCCAAAAGCCCCAAGCAAAAGATAAGAGGTGCAGAGGGTTGAGAAGCCAGCCATCAACCAGCCCGGGCAGAGTGATGAGTATAGGCTGCTAAGGGCTTCGCTGGACCCCACAGGAGACATTTGCTTTTTCTAGAAGGCTCTCTTGTAGGAGAGATCCAGAAAATGGGCTCAAACAGCTACAACAAGCAGCACAGGAACCAAGCAGAAGCTCCCAGGCATTGGTGTGGAAAGGATGTGGGCCTGAGGGTGGTGAGGAAGGGTGCAATCCTGGGGTCCCCGACTCTGAAGGGGCTCAGTGCTCCTGTAACTATTAACGCATGTGAATACAGCGTATATAACACACAAACTTGAAACACAGAAACCAACAGCTTTCCCAGACGTTAGTTCTACATACAAAACTACACACAAGCCGACTCAGCCTCAGGAGAGCTGCCTGAGCACAGCAGGAGGGGATGGCTTTGCCTGCCCAGCTAGGTGAGCTCAGGGTGAACTTTGCCACCTCCCCACTGTAGCCTGGCACACACCGTGGTTTCTGGGGGATGCCAGGCAAGCCCCACACTGTTGCTGCCCTCTGTGCCTTCGGCCAGTGGATCAAGAGCCTCTCAACTCCAGCCAGGCAAGCTGCCCCTGCACACCACCTGTGGGAAGGTCGGCGCCGACCGTTGACATTCATGAGGAAGGCCGCACCCTGGTCTGAGGGAGTGAGTCCAATACCAACACGAGAGCCCCACCTGGCGGGGGGCCGCTCACTGGCATCCTCACCATCATAGAAGAAACGAACTCCGTCCGGAAGGGGCTCATATGCGGGGCTGAAGTACGGGCCTCTGTGCTCTAGCTGTCTCCACTTCACCCGGTCTGTACTCTTCTCCTCTTCCCACCTAAAAAGAACAAAACCAGAATGCGTCACTCCCATGGGTGCTGACACTGTGGGCCAGGCCTTGGGCTGAGCCTGTTCTGCCTTTGCCCACGAGGCCCCTCCTCGTGGCTCCTGGCAGGTGGGCACCATGGCCTCCACTGTACAGGGGAGGAAATAAGGCCTAAAGAGCCAGGTAAGAGGCAGGTGGCCACCCTGCAGGATTCAAACCTGCCTGCCCTCAGACCCCTGTTCCTGGGCACCTGACTACCTGACTGCACCTCCTACCTGAGCTGGCCAGGTGTGCTGCTGCATCGTCACCAACTCAGGTGAGCTTGGCTGAGTGGGAAGGGGTAGGAAATGCTCCTCTCTGAGGCTCAAGGGCCTCTCCCCAGTTGGGACCCCTGAGAGCTGGCCTAGAATCCTGCAGAACATCTTGATAGTGTCCCACAGAACCTCTCCGTGTGACTGTTTCATTTGCTAAAGGGCCTGGCTGTACACTGGAGAAGGAACTTGGAGTCAAGAGGGAAGACAGGCAGGACATGGCAGAAAGCAGGGAATGTGACTGTGGCCCCACAGAGGACTGGGGCAAGGAGCCTCAGGGGCTCTGGGGAAGGGCTCTTCAAGGGGTATGGGGCACCACCTGTCAGGCACCAGCACAACACGCCCCCAGGTGGTTCTCTGCTGAGGTCCCCTGTCCCAATCTGTCCCCAGATCTTCTGGAAACAGGACTTTCCTCTCCAGGGCATCACCTCCCATGCAAGCTCGGCTCTGGAGGCAAAGGGACGTGGCCCAGAATGGTGGCCACTGCCTGTCCTAACGCTCCATATGAACGCTCATTGTCCATCCATCTGGGCCTGAGAGGTCTCCCAAAGGTCTGCCCTGAGGCAGTGCTGCACTACGTCCTGAGGACACACAGATGGCCAAGGAGCCACAGGGAGGACACAAGCTGAACTCAGATGCTGAGATGTGCCTGGTAGAGGAGAAAGAGGGATGGGGCTCAGCTGGCAGTGGTGTCCCTTTAAGGCTCAGCTCTGTCAACAGCGCTCAGAGAAGAGCAAGTCCAGCACACGGGACAGCAGTGCAGTGGCCCCAGCAAGAGAGGCTTTAGCAGGAGGGTCAGGGCCACGGTGGGTGAGTGGAGGTGGCAGGCACATGCTTCCCAAGGAGGACAGCAGTAGCCTGCCCAGACCACACAGTGGGTTTGCCAGAGCCAGGAGACGCATGCTGAACCCATGGCCAGGCAGGCTCCCAAGGGCCTGGTCACTTGGATGAGTTCCTAAGAGCAGCAGAAGCCTCTGAAGGGCTGAGAAGAGTGGGAGACGCGTAAGACATTTCTGAAAGGGCTCTGGCTGCCTCTGCAGAGGAAAGAACCACCAAGGCAGAAGGGGGCAGATTCCGGAGGAGCTGATAACCTGCCAGAAGGTGATGAGTTTAACACCCTAGGGTGGAATCAAGAGCCCTGTTGACTAAATGTGTAATGTGTATAGGTCGTGGGGTGGGGGATGGGAGCATAAGCCGGGGCTTGTCCTGAGGCAAACACTGCAGGCAGCACACATTGCTTCACAAATTCTCAGAGCTGCCCAAATCCGGAAGCCTGGAGGGCAGGAGGCAGGGGAGAAAGGCCTCTGCTAATTCCATCTGTCCCAAGATAACAGCCCCACCTATTTTACTATCTATGGTTTTAGGATCTTCAATAAACCGCCTGCCCTATTCCAGCATAAGTAGGGTGGGGCTAATAGGAATGCTACTAAGACAGTGGATTTTTTTTTTTTTTTAAAGAAACTGGGTCTCATTCTGTCACCAGGCTAGAGTGCAGTGGTGCAAATCATAGGTCACTGCAGCCTTGAACTTCTGGGCTCAAGCAATCCTCCTGCCTCAGCCTCCCCAGTAGCTAGGACTACAGGCATGCACCACCACTCCTAGATAATTTTTTTTTTTTGTAGAGATGGGGTCTCACCATGTTATGTTGCTTGGGCTGGTCTCAAGCTCCTCACCTTAAGCGATCCTCCAACCTTAGCCTCCCAAGCAGCTGGGACTACACATCCCACCATGCCTGGCCAATTTCTCACAGAATTGACTTAAGATGCATCCCACGGCCGGGCGCTGTGGCTCACGCCTGTAATCCTAGCTCTTGGGAGGCCGAGGCGGGCGGATTGCTCAAGGTCAGGAGTTCAAAACCAGCCTGAGCAAGAGCGAGACCCCGTCTCTACTATAAATAGAAAGAAATTAATTGGCCAACTGATATATATATAAAAAATTAGCCGGGCATGGTGGCACATGCCTGTAGTCCCAGCTACTCGGGAGGCTGAGACAGGAGGATCGCTTGAGCCCAGGAGTTTGAGGTTGCTGTGAGCTAGGCTGACGCCACGGCACTCACTCTAGCCTGGACAACAAAGTGAGACTCTGTCTCAAAAAAAAAAAAAAAAAAATGCATCCCAGTTTCAGATGTGAGAAAATGTGAAACCACATGCATCTTAGAACTGACTGACAAAACACTGACTGCCAAGTTCTTCACCAAAGCCTCCTGGGTAGAATCATACAATCACCCCCATTTCACAGATGAGGATGTTAAGGTCAAGGTTAAACCCCTTGCTGGCCAGCAACTGAGCAGCTCTGAAGACTGGGTTTGTGCTCAAGCCCACCAACGCAGGTGGATGGTGGAGTGCTACACATGGTGGTAACAACATTCTATCTTCCTTCAAAGATCCAGCTACCAAGCACAGCCAACAAAATCAAGTGGCTTTAAAAGGGACATGTTGCTCCAAACCTACTTACCCACACCTGCCCAACTGCAATTCAGCAGCTTTTTAGAAAGCATCTGCCTGTATAGCTACCAAGAGACGGACACTAGCAAAGGGGCCTGCAGGCCAGCCCAGCTCCACACGGGTCAGACCTCTCTCCCTCCCCCTACCTGGGCTCTCTGAGGCAAATAGGGCATTTCTGCTGTATGGATTTGGGAAACTGTCCAGGCTCCTGGCTGCAAATGAATGACAAGTGGCCAGCCTAGAAACATACCATTCTATAAACACTAAGGGACAGGAAACGGGGAGACTGGCCGAGGGCACAGGGATGACCGGTGAATGCCCCACATTCATGCAGAATTGGTCCTGGAAACACCTGGGGACCTGAGAACCCAAACTCCAGGAGAGTGGGAGTCTCAGAAGAGCACAACGGCAACATAAGCTTTCCATAAAGTTCAAAACCAAACATCTGTGCTGAGGCCCAGCCACAGCCGGATCAAAGATGAAACCAAACTAACAAAGGGGGATGAAACCCAAAGGGGGAATGGGGGGAGAGCTCAGGCGGGGCCTGCACATCTGGGTAACATGTCGTTCAGGGGATTCCAGTGATCAGTAACACAGCTACATGCCTTCTCTCAGATTATGTGGCCCGGCTTTTAGCGTAAGGCAAGGCGGCCGCACAAGGCCTGGCACAGACTTTCTGGATCTAGCCCAGCCCGGGGCTCGGAGCTGCCTTACCCAGCTCTGCAGTCCTTCTGCGTCCTGCGCTGGCGGGGGGCACCCCGGGAGGCCGAGCGCTGTGGGGTGTCCCGGAACAGAGCATACGCTGTCCGGAGCCAGCGGCCAGCCCATACCACGCGCATCCGCCACGCTTGGCAGTCAGGCGGAGTGCCGGCCCCGCCCCCGCCCCGCCCCGCCCCGCCCAGACCTCGCTCCGCCCCCGCCCCCGCCCCACCCAGGCCTCGCTCCGCCCAGGCGTCTCCCGGCGGCCCCTCCCCTAGTCCTGCCCCAACTCCGCCCCACCCAGGTGGACAGGGAGCAGCCGAGGGGGGAGGGGGGAAGGGCTTGGCAAGAAGCCAGAGAGTCAGCTAACCCGCTGGACCCCAGGCCTGCAGAGGAAGGTGTGTGCGGAAGGGCACTTCCGGTCCTGCCGAGCTGGTTTGCCTGCACTCGTGGTCTAGCAAACCTCTCAGGCTGGGGTCGGGGACCTAGATCCAAATCCAGTCCTGCTGACCCCGCTGACACTCAGCTGCCTGTTAGGACGCCCCATGGCTCACACAACACCATTGCACTGCTCTCTCCTCAGACCCTCCTAGAGCAGGGGCACAGTGCAGGTCCTTCCTAAGCATGGGCTACCCCTGTACCTCAGGAGAAGGGGACCTCACATTGTTGGGAGCCCTGCCCCACAGTGCACAACGAGGCTGCATAAGCAGCAGCAGGTACCAAACCTCAGCACATCCAGGACACAGAAGCCCACAGACACCCCTGCTATCCAGCCAGTGCAGTCCCACAGGAGGGGCCTGTGAACACCTGCCCCAGAAGTCCTGCAGTATCAGCACTGCTACCAGCCTCTCACCCCAAGACCACAGACCATGCACAGTAACAATCGTGGTCTCCGTCCCTGCACTCATGGTCCCTAGGACAAATGCTGACCTGGCCAGGGTGTCCCCACTGGGCAACATGGCCAAGCTGCAAAACCTCTACACCAGCACTTGGTGGCGGCCCTGGGCCAGCAGCAGGCCACGCTGGCTCCACCTCCAGTGGCTGTGCAGCCTTCTTCAACTGTAAAATGGGGATGCCAGGACTTTGGGAAGTAGCTGAAGTCACACACATCTTCACCCTCAGACTGGTGGGCTGCAGTGAAGACAGGCAGGGAAGGAGGTGGGCCTGTAGCTCTCCCATGACCACCAGCCAACTCAGTTTCCACAGATGTCTCATGGCTGGAAGCCATGAGCAAAGGTGATGGGCTGCACTTCCTGGCTTTTAGCACCGAGGCTGGCTTTGCAGGTGCCCCCAACATTTCAGAATGAGCAACTCAGTTGCTGAAGGGACTGACCTTCCTAAGGGCCCACCTCCCACAGATACTGCTAAGGACAGCTGCATATATTGTTCCTTACAATCCTTTCTACAAACCAAGAAGTAAATCCCAGCACAGGCCCACTATTCCCTCACAGAATCCTGAGGCCAATGTGTTTTCCAACTTAGATTCTCAGGCTTTGTAAATGAAAATGTGGCAGGACAAAAACCATAAGATCTCTCAATAGGCAGAAAAAGCATCTCACAAAATCCAACACCCTTTCATGATAAACAAAACAAAACAAAATAACTACTCAAGAAACTAAGAATAGAAGGGAACTATCTCAACCTGAACAAAGACATCTAAAAACCCCACAGCCAACCTCATATGCAATGGTGACAGGCTAGATGCTTCCCCTGAGATCAGGTACAAGAAGAGATGTCTGTGCTCATCGTCACTATTCAACACTGTACTAGAGGTTCTACCCAGAGCAAACAGGCAAGAAAATGAAATAAAAAGCACCCAGATTAGAAAGAAAGAAGGACATCATCTCTATTTGCAGATGCCATGATCTTATGCATAGAAGATCCCAAAGAATCCACAAAAACTACAAGAATTAATAAATGATTCTAACAGAGTTGCAGGGTATGCAATATGCAAACATCGGTTATATTTTTAACTAGTAGCAATGAGCAAACTGAAAATGAAATTAAGAAAACAATTCCATTTACAAGAGCATAAAAAACAAGGAATAATTTAACAAAAGTAGTATAAAACTTATACACCAAAAACTGTAAAACATTGCTGAAAGAAATTAAAGACAGACTAAATAATCAAAAGCCATCCTGAGTTCATGGCTTGCAAGACTTCCTGCGCTTAAGACAGCAATACTTCCCAAGTTGATCTAAAACGTCATCACAGGCCCCACCAAAATCCCAGCTGGCTTTTTTACAGAAATTGATGACCTGATCCTAAAATTCACACAGAAATACAAGGGACCCACAATGGCCAAAACAATCTTGAAAAAGAAGAACAAAGTTGGAGGATTCACACTGGCTGATTTCACAACTTCAAAGCTGTAGTGATCAAGGCAGCATGGCTCTGTCACAAGGACAGACACACCAATCAATGGAGTCCAAGGAGAGTACCCAGATACAAACCCACACATCAACAGTTACTTGAATTCAACACGGATGCCAGACCATCCAATCCAGAAGGAACAGTCTTTTCAACAAGTGGTGCTAGGCTATCCACACAAAGAATGAAGTCAGACCTCTTTCTCACATCATACACAAACGTTAACTCAAAATGGATCAAAGACCTACGTGTAAGAGCTAAAATTATAAAACTCACAGAAAAAAACATAGGTGTAAATTGTTAGGACCCTGAATTAGACAATGGGTTTTCTTTTAAAAAGAATATACAAAAACTCTTGCCACTCAACAATAAAAAACAGATAACCCAGATAGAAAATGGGTAAAGGATCTGAACAGCCATTTTTCCAAAGAGGAGACACCAATGGCCGACAGACACATGAAAAGATGTCCATCTCTATCCCTTGGAGAAATGCAAGTCAAACCCACAATGATGTCACTTAACACCGGGATGGCTGTAATCAAAATGGTGGAGAAGATGTGGACAAGCACCCTACTGCCCTTAGCCAGAGCCATGGTCAAGGAGCTCTGGTCCTGCTGACCAGGATGGGTTTCTACGAACTATCTGCCAATATCCATGGGGTTTATGGCCTCCCCCCACCCCCAATTCTTCCTTCCCAGACCACTAGAGGGTTATCCAGGGAAGGATAAACCAGGCTTCACACACAGGCTCCTACTCAACATCACATCCTCGGAGCAGGCAAGAGGATTCCCAACTTGCAAGAGAGAAAATAGGCTTAGAAAATTAAGTAATCTTCTCAGAATCAAACAGCTGCTAACTGTCAGAGCTGACACCCAAAAAGACCTTTCCACCTCAACCCTACAGCCCCAAAGCTGTGCAGTGACTGTTCCCCAGGTAGGAAGCAACACTGCCCGCAGGCCCCGAGTGGCGTTCACATGTGTCCAGAAGCCACACTGAAAAACAAACAAATCAACTTAAGTCTAATAATGTATTTCATTGCAACCAATAAATCCAAAATATTGTCATTTCAATATAATAAACTAAGATGGCTCATGCTGTTTTCCTCACACTAAGCCCTGCACATCTCCCAGGACAGCTGTGTGGTTCGTGCCCATGTCCAGGCAGAGCCAGGGTGAAAGCAACAATTACAGAGTGGCTGAGTCCAGTGTCTGCTCTTCTACCTCATGCTGTGTGACCTTGGACAAGTTATTTAACTTCTCTATACCTCAGTTTCCTCCTGGGAAAAATGGATACCCCAATACGTACCTCAAAAATGACTGACCAAAGCAATGCCACATGGTAAGCACTTCTTCACCACTGTCGCGGGAATCCAGAAAACTGATAGCTCCAAGCTGCCAATACAAGAGAACATTCTGGATTGTACCCCACGCCAACCCAGCAGCCTACAGTGGGGCAGCAAAAGCCAGTGCCACATCTGTACATCACTCCCACCCCCTACCCGACTGCAGGAAAGCAGCCCAGGTGGTCCCTGTCCTGGGCAGCAGCAGGGCAGGGTGGGCATGTGGAATGCCATTTCCACCTGCTGCCTTCCTCTTTCCTCTCTTGCCCATTCTTGCTCTCTGTCTGTGGTTTCCCTGCCTCCTGGCCCTTTTCCTTCTCTTTCCCTCTGGACACTCCACCATCCACTGGCTCCTTCTTCAAGGTCTCTCTGCTTCTAGCTGGTTTCCTGCTGCCCTGGGCATTCTCTTCCTTGGGCTTCCTGACCAGTCTTCCTCCCTGGTGGCCGCCCTCAGCCAGGTCCCACTCACTCCTGCACTGCGCTCTTCTCTCTGGCCTGTCCACCTTCCCCTGGGTCACTAGCTTTCAATTTTCCTTCTTCTGGTTTTCGAGCTCTTCCTTCCCCAGCTTTGTTGGTCTTCCTTTTCTTTTCCTTTCTGGAAACCAGGGTCTCTGACTTGGACCTGCTGTCCTGTGTTTGCTCTCTTACCTTTGTGCCATCTAATTTTTCATTTTCTTTCTTGATTTTTTCAACCCACCTTTCTCACCCCTCCTTGTCCTCACTGTGTGTGTGTTTCCCTCTTGGAACTCTTCCTTCCCCATGGGCCCTGGCCATGTCCTCCCAGCAGGGCTCAGCTCTGCACCTCCACTTTGTGCTGGTCCCTGCTCCTGTCTCATGGGGGCGACTGTGCTCATCCTCTTCCTCTCCAGAGCACTCTTCTCCGGCTCCTGCCGCAGCCACCCTTTTATCTTACGCTCCTGCTCCCTGCAGCTAAGGCCCCTGTTCCTGAGCCCCCCTCCAGCATCACTGCCTTTGTCCACTTCCCAACATGTTTCTTCCCCTTCTCTTCAGATTCTTTTCATTGTTTTTCACTTTTCACACAGCCCTTGCCATGGCTAGTGTCTATGAGCTGACAGCCGCCCTCCTCCAGGGCTCCCTTCCTCCCAGACACTGTGTGCAGGGCTGTCTCCTTCACTCTCTTCTTTTGGTTCTCAGAACACGGCCCATCAGAGACCCACTGGCATCTGCTGAGAATCATCTTCCTCCCATCTGCAGGACCTCGTTGTGGCCTCGGGACCTTGCCCAGGAGGGAGAGAGCACGCCATGAGAGGGGCCACACACCCCACTGGCGATGCCCACCCAGAGATCCCAGGGGAGGAGGGAAGGCAGCTCAGCACCCCACCCACATGACTGCTCCACATCACAGGGGCACAAACCAGGGCTGTGAGGTTCTAATAAATGCTTCCAACTGAGCTTCGGAAAATGGCTTCTTGATCTCACCCCTGCGGCCTGTGCAG